TTAATATATCTTCACTTTATTACACTGCAAACGTTTTTAGATAAACTATCGCTCTTATAATGATAGAACAAACAAAACTGACTTTTATGTGATCAGTGAAATTCAAATCATACACGTTTCGTAGTGATACCACTTCACATTTTCTACCTTTCTTCTCTTATGTTGGTTAGGTTTCTCTAAATTAGGTTTGTTGGCGTGAATTGATAAAAAGGTCGTCATATTTAAAAAACCAAGGCTTTTCATAACTGCATGAATTATTTATCGTCAGTTAGAACTGTAAAACGTATTTTATTATTCTTTAAAACTAGATATTTAGCTATCATTCGTCACTTTGCACATCTACCAGACTCTTGTCTTGTTTATTTTTAATTTTTTTCTGAGTTCATTAACCTGCCACTTTATAATCTACTCGATGTCTGAATTGATTTTACCTTCAAATGTGACATCTGTTTTATCACAGCCGATGCTTGTTAAATGATTACAGGGTAGCGTTTCGTTTCTTCATTTACACGTTCCACTTTGTCCAATAAGCGGAGGTGAGCAGTGTCAAATTGGTGGTACTAGTGATTCGTTGGCAGCGACCTTGTCCGACACACTCGCATCGAGCACGCATCACGCACTCGCTTGAATAAGTGCGTTACGCAGATCATGTCGACTCTGAACATATATTTTTTATGTTCGCATATTTGTCACCACTTAAAAGTTATTGGCGAACTGATTGTTACTGTAGTGCTGTCGGCACGGTCTTACGTGGACGTGACATCTCAACAGAATAGCTCTGGAGTGTCTGCTCTCTTCTCACTAAAGTTTACAGTTTATGGAGGTGTTTATCCTTGTGTAAGCTATTCATATTCTACGGTCGATTAGCGAGCCTCTTGACCGCTATGCTACCTGCAATGGCTTTGGCACGGAGCGCCGAGTATGAGATCAACAATGTCAAGGCACGGTTATGTTATTGTTGCACAATACACTGGCCCACTCAACACCTATGGTTAGCCGCTGGAGGTCGGATATCAAAAACACGCCAAGCTTTTTGTATGCTACAGTCCAAAGTGCGATGCAATTGCGTGCAATTTTACATTACAATTGCAAATGGTCACTTTAAAGTAAGCGGTCATGTGTATCGTTGGCAGTTTTTCTCCTTCGCATCCCGATTTGTTCTTGTTGTCGATCGTTACATATTAATCTGTTTCCACGAAAGGCCATTTTTTTGTTACACTGGTAATACTTGCAGGGCTTGTCGTGATTTATATGTTTCCCGTTGAATAAATTTTAACAATTGAATATATTCATTTTCATGATTTGGGCAGAACACACGTAAACCTTTTTAATTTCGGTAGCATTTTGTGTATATTTGGTAGTGGTGTTTATTATGAACACCGTCAATTGTATGTAAATGTTAGTAGATATTAAAAATGTGTAGTAGAGGTCGGCGGGTGGGTCCATTATGTCGAGCGCGTAGAGGGCAGTAAGTCAGTGTATCTCAGACAGGTCTCCGCCCCGGGGTGTCCGATGTCCGAGCCTGGTTTATGCAGGCACACCTACTCGGAAGATTTGCTTCACACGACTGTCTCAGCACCTGAGTTATTACCCTTAATCAGACTTTCGTTTATTTCGCATTTATTTTTATCGGATTTCGATTTCGTTGCATTGTTGTTTTTTTGTTTTATGATCATCTTCACATACTTTATTTGGTTCGGCTTTAATCGCTGGATGTTTATTTACATTAAAATTAATCTTGTTCACTTTATCAATATTAAAATCGAAGATTATAAATCACCATATATAAGCACGACGCATCACGGAGTCTGGAAGGGTCATTGGTGCTCGTTGGAATTATTGGTGTCACTGAACTTTGCAGTTATCACATCGCAAATCTCAGTATTGGTTACGAGTAATTATGGTCGGAGTACTTATCGTCCACATAAATCATTTGTCTCATAGACACTTAACAGCTGCTGTTGGAAATTAATACACGCATTAAGTTGAATTTGATTTGCAAATAGAGTCTTAGTGGCTGAGGCAAATATGTTTGTAAGCGTTATTACCTATTGGATCGGCTCTAAGGATTGTGCTCAATTAAAATAACTAGAACTTGCTCCTACGAATCTACACGTAGCATGTCGAATTAATATGAATTTTAAATGCTGCTGATATATTCTTAATAAAAACTATTGTTATTAAGAGATGAGTAACGCGCGCTAATTGTTGGTTGTTGTGTAAAAACTCCGGTAAGCAAGTACCGAACCAACACGTCTCGATTATTTGTGTTGTCAGTAATTCTTCGTCAGCTTGTTCCGTAGTTGTTCGGTTAACTTTGTGCACAACCATGAATCTCGTTAATTAATAGTCAGTGGGCAGAAGCCGGTTTAATTTAATTAAGAGCCAAACTAATTTTACTATTAATACTCACCTCGGTATATGTTTACTTTCGGTACTATAAGCCGGTTTTCCGTTAATAAACCTGTGAATTGGTTAGTAGATTGCACCGGTGCTGGTGTCCTTAGTAACATTACTACAAGACATTCATCGTTCACAAACAAATATGCCTCTTCAGATAATTGTGTTGTTATGTCAATGCGTAATTTTCAAATCACTTCACAAGAATACAAATTAGTTGTACAAGGCTTTTTGAGTTTACAGCTCTAAGAAGCACTTTATAACTACCTATTTGATATTTCTCTATACTTATAGCTAGCTTCGAATGAACGCTACAATTAATAGAAGGCAAAATATTTAAAATACTTGCGCTAACAATTGTAGTCTGTCAGGACTCAGGACCAGTTGTTGGTGCATCTGCTTTCCATGTAAAACGATAAATATTTGTATGCGTAAGACAAGTGTTTGTCCTTTGTTTTAAGACTTGCTGCAACCTGGTAGAGTCGCTGTTCTGCAAGGTACAGGGCATTAAACGTGATATAATCTATAGATAGCGTTTGAATTGAGTTCGTCAGTAACTGATTAAATGACACAATAATTTATCTAGACTAGGTCTAGGTCCTCGCAGAGATTTATAATGAAGTTTCGCCGCTAGTAACCGCTGCACTTCTCATTCGTGCCTGCCACCGTCATTGTAAATTGTACCTTACGTTATTAAACTGGGTTTAAAATGGAGATTAATGTCGAGTGCACAGTGTCATCGGCAACAGGTATCTGCTCACTTACCTTGACCGCGCACGTTGTCCTCTCACTTATAGAATGATCATAGACGTCTTCGATGCGCCCGCGCCATTATCGTGCACCCTCAATTGTGTTCCTCAAACTTTTCATATATTTGACCTTCTCCTAATTAGACGTTGTATCTGCGAAAATAATAGAATTTTCATCACATCTCTTGTTTCCATTTATAACAAAGTGGAAGATTTATGATACTTTTTGTAGTCTCTTTAATTTTATACCAATTTTGATTTGTATGAATTTCAAAATGTATGTATGAGACCGCGACTTTGTTTCTTATTTTTCCCGAAAAGACCCCGCGAACTGTATCTTTTTGTGTTGAAGATGAATTTTGATGCGGGTTGACGTCGAATCTGTTCTTTTGTGATTCATTTTGTGGTGTCACTGAATTGTAAGTGAGGACGGTGCGTTGAGCAACACTTTGTCTCCTTCCTAACACGCGCTCACTTTATCTGATTTCCACACGCGTCTCTAATTTAAATATGAGCGTTTTGTAGGTGTTGCGTTGACACTATACTTATTCAATTTATGTCAATAGATTGTCCGGCGCTCGCCATATTCATATGATTCATTGCCACTCAATCGCGATGGGAGATTAAATAAATCGTCAGTCGCCGTCCTCGCATCGTCGATGTGATTGTATGTGCGTGCGGGGTTGACTTTCATACAATATTGCCGCCAATTAGATCGTGGCGTCTCGCAACGCTGCCTAGGACACCGAGTTCACTTTGCTTAGAGATCGATTTCGTGTGACTTTCGTCTGGGTATGTTTCATCTACCTCGTGCTGAGTTGTTTTTACTTCAAATATATTTCACCTCATGTGTTTTACAACATGCCACGTTGATTTCTTAAAGTCGTGCTTGTCATTCAGAGATTTTTTGATTATTATTTCGAGGTGTGGTGCATACACATTTTGAATTTGGCTGCATATCAAAGACGTACGATTCTTCTCAGAAATAAGATGTGTATTATGTTAAAAATGTTTTATTGTAAAGGTCGAGCAGTGTTGTCATTTGAGATAAATAGAGTATTTTGTATGACATTAGTACAGCAGCAGCAGTAACCCGCTCCACATCACTGCCATATACCTATTTACTGTGTACCGTTATCACTGAAGCGATAGCACTTGGTCGATAGCTCGACCATTGCACAAGTTCGTGGGCTTATCTCAGAATGCAGTTTACTGTGCACTTCATTTGGCATCAGACGTGAAAAAATGGGTCGTTGAAATCTTCCCTAAATTTAATAAATTATCTGTTATAGTATATCTTGGCAATTAGTACCTAGTATCAGTAAAATAGTTTCCATCTGGAACTGGTCGGTGTAGTGCAATAGTGCGTCGTGGTCGGTGTCGCCGGTGGTCATCGGCCCCCATCGGTGAGTTTCGCAAGTCCAGTTAACCGTATGAGTCGATCACATTAATATTCTACGGTTGATTTTATTGCGAACCTAGCGCTTACCTCCACCTCCGTAGGTACAGATTTTATAGATTGTATACATTATTTATAGATTTAGATGCCCATTTATATTACATGTGAGTTTGATAAGAATTTGTTTCATAACAGCACATATGATATGTAATTAATATTTAGGTAAATGAATGTGAATGTATTTCCTTTGGGACAGTAAAGAGACAAAGACATTCCGTAGTGTCGAGACGAGAGGGAATCTTCAGTGAAGGGCGGCACGCAGACGGCTTTCATCGTGTGTAAATGCGTGCCGCACAAAAAATGGATAGACGGCCAATAAAAACCCCGTGTGGAGAGAAGCTGAGGGGCGGGCTCGCGGGTGCAGCGCGCTGCGCCAGTAATTGCAAGTTGCAGTCAGTCTCCGCCGCGCTGGGTGCGCGCACGCAGCCTCCTTCCATCCCTCGCCCGCAGTCGGGTGAACGACTCCCCAACAAGTATGCGTACGAGTCGTACGACACACCACCGCCACATTGTGCCCGCTCCTTGTTTTCGCGAACGTTGATCAATCTGTATGTTTGGGTCCCGTTAACCGGAAGCGTGGGCTGCGTCACTGGCGTTTAGCTTAGCGTGCGTTTCGTTTTCGCTCGGACGGTCACATAGACTTGATAGTACAGGGGTTGTGTAATATTCGCGTCATTAACCGCGTAGACGTGACGATCATGACGTGAGTTTATCTCGGAATAACGTTGCAATTGTTTGTCAGGTTTGTAAATACCTAGTGTTAAATGAATTTTTCTGTTTTGTCGCAGGGCGAACGTTGTCGCTACAGTATCATCAGCGGGTGGGGAGGCTGGTCCCCCGGGCCCGGCGACCGAGGGCACCGACATGAAAGGTGTTGAGGCTACGCCAGAAGAGCAGGAACGGCTAGCAACCGGAAACAACAATGGGTCGCTGGACTGCAAACACACGGCCGCCGACCCGCAGCCGCTGCAGGGACGCTCCGTGTTCCACTCGACGCGGGTCTTCATGTTGGTGTTCCTGTCGGGTTGGATACTGCAGGGCATGTTCCTGACCTACTTCGTTAGTGTAACAACCACAATAGAAAAATTATTTAGAGTAGAATCAAAGACGACGGGGACGTTACTAGCGGCTACGGAAATAGGCCAGATATCTACAGCACTGATCCTGACGTACCTGGCAGGCCGCGGACACAGGCCACGATGGATCGCCTGCATGATGATCGTGCTGGCGGTGGGTGTGGTCGGCTGTATCATGCCACACCTTCTCTATGGCACACAGTTGCTCGAAGTGCACCAGGAAGAGCATCAAGGTGGCGCCGCGCCTGTTTGCTACAGCTACCAGAACTCCTCCGACTTGTGTGATGCCCCACACATAAAGAGCTCGACCACACGATCCTCCATCACCTCTGTTGTCATCCCATGGCTGTTTATTTGCCTGCTGATAGTGGGCGTGGGGCAGACTGGGATAGCCACGCTGGGTATTCCATACATAGATGACAACGTCGGCAGCAGGCAGTCACCACTTTACATGGGTGAGTAGATATTTATTGTTATGGCTCTCCACAGTTCTGTTAGTTAATTGTATATATGTATGTAGGTATATAGTTACCGGCAGAGGTGCGCCAGAGAATCACTAGGGTGTGTTCCGTAAAACAAAAGCATGATGATCGTATGCTTTATAAATTCGGTGTCTCGATTAAGATAAATTTATTGTTAGCGATTTGTGAGTACTTACAATAAATTGGGCACATAAAAGTGTTTAAATCATAGCCGCCGCCCACGGCCCGCCTACAGCGTACTTTGCCGGCCGCCCTCTGATGCGTTGCGTAATTAACAATCGGTTTGAGCGCATCCCGCGTTAATTGCAATTTCGTACAAAATATCTTTTTACAAATATGTTTATTGAAGTTCCGTGGAGCAAGTACGCCTATCTATGTAGGTTTTCAGTGCCACAAGCTTGGTTAGTATGGTGTAGTTATTATAAGTGCATTGTAAGAATAATTATTTAAGCAATACAATAAAGCTATTGATTTTGTATGGCGGTTTCACGGCCGGTCGTCGTAACAGCTCAAAAACTGAAGTCAAAACATTTGACAAGGTTAATATAAAGTGCATAAACGCAAACAATAGATGTTTGGGTGTCGCCAAGTTAAGTACAACGTGCACACGTATCCTAACCATGGAGCGAGTGGATTGTTGCACCCGCGTTTTCCATGCAACAATTTCTACGTAGGAATTGGGGCCGAAAGGACCCTCGATAGATTCCGGACTATTATCGATTAGTTTTACTCCTATAGGAATCGAAATAAGCTTATCGATTACAATTTCCAGTATAGGGTGCTCGTCTAGAACCTCTACGCTTTTTGTTAAGTTTCTGATAAGTGTAATAGTAGGGAAAAGTAATACTTTTCCGATTTTGGATATTAAATCTTATATCGATACCAGTTTCTGTAATCGATTACATTAAAGCTTGTTAGTTATGCTGATGATTCAATTTTATTATGTTTACCTTCGACATTTCATAATTGCTCATTTGAATTTGTTATGTCTTCGGATTCAAAATATTTACTATGCTGTAGTGTGAAGGTAGACGGGTATATAAAAAATGTGGATTGACCAGTAGACTAGACTTAAAATATCTCAATACTATCTATTATGGAATTATTAATAATGTTTTCATTTCACAATGCTCTCGTGTAATTTGGGCTTTGACGTAAATGGAAACTGTCTTGGTAGAAAGGGACGTTTCGCTTTTTTTTTACAACATTGAGTACTTCTTTTTCGTTTTTTAATTTAATAGATGAAAAGCTGTCCTTGCATATACTTTGATGGTGAACTATACCATTGCGAGAGAGGCCAAGAAGTTTTCTAATCTTTTTAGATTGTTTATTGTTGATGCATTTATGTCCTTGAAGCTGGACACCTGAAACACCAGTTACAAGTCCGTAGCCGGCCTTTTGAGATTAGGATTTTGAGGATCGCTGGGGATTCAGGGAATGGCGGCGGCGGTGCGCGGGGGGGGGGGTTAATTGGGCCTCACTCACACGACGAAACATAACGCAAGCGTTGCTTCACGTCTAGGTGTTCTGTGAGGCCGTGGTATCACTCCTGTTGCGCATGGCTCTCCCACACTTAAGATCTGATCTGTTTTCTCAGACAGACAATTTTATTCTTTTCATTTGAGAGCTCTTAAAATGATGACAAATCCCTTTTGTCATTGTAGGCGCAAATCATGATACAGCAGTAATAAGAACACAGATATATGTTCTCTATAGTCCTTTAATGACAAATAACTATTTCTGATGCACAACCAGCTTCTGTATGAAAATGAGAGCATACTCGTGTTTTTGTAACGACCTGATAATATAGATTAATGTTCTACTGAACTTGCAAATGATTAGATAAACATAGAATAAGTCTGATTGTTACTGGGTCAGTACATATATCTGATAATCTTGACATGTATTTGCGATTGGCAGGCTTTATCTTGTGTTTTAGGGACGGAGAATAATGTTTTTATAATTGAGGTTAGTCTTAAAGTTTCAATAATTATTTGTTTATTTATGCACAATACAGACAGGACACAGGTCAATACATATTTTGAAATAAATTGGAGGTACATAGGCACTACCTGCAGTCCTTCGATAGGAAAAACCTAAACCTTTGTTGGTACATTTTTGACAACTAAAGATAGAACTTTAACTGCGCACTGGCTTCCGCGCAACGTGTAGCGGGTTCAATTCCCGCACGAAACAAATCTTTGTGTGATCCGATTATTGTTCTGGATCTAGATGTCATGTGTATGTGAACTTGTATGTTTGTAAACGCACCCACGACACAGGAGAAAAACCTAGTGTGGGACAACGTTTAAAAAAATTAACAGAAGCTTTATTAAATGTATTTATTGTCTTTGGTTTGGTTTATTCTAAATAAGACACGCAGAAAAGAAGAGTTCACTCAGAGGGTCGTTTGATGGTTTTCTATTTGGAATTCAAACAAATCTAATAGGTATATTTCGCGAGGTTTTTTGAAGCTTTAAAGCAAAAACCAACGTCTTTAGGATTCTCAACGTACTTGTCGTAAAATAGTCCTTTAGTGATAGTAAAATAAAGTAATTCAAGATCCTATTTATAGCTGGGATTTAAACCAAAGTTCAAGACTGGGTATAAACCTTTCAGACTCGAATTATGTGCAAACCACGGAGGATCTCAACAATATAAAGATATTACTCATTAGTCATTAGAATAATTACTTCGCAGCCATTTCGTTTTATTGGCCATCCTACGATATTGCTTGCAAAAGCGCATGTTTAAACTTTATAGTTTTAATTTAATTGAACTCATCTAGCTTGTGCAGTTATAGTTTGTTTATTTTACGCGTTTCAAATAGCATTGTCCTTCGTTTGTAATAAAATATATGTTTACCATTCGAGATGAAGTTCATCTAATTGGTTTGGTATTTCTGTGCACGCTCTTATTGAAACGTGTTTATCAACGCAGTACTAAATGAATCAATCTTTGCACCAAAAGTTGAGCACACAATTAATTAAATAGGTAATTATGCAATCCTAATCCCACATAATGAGTAAAGGCCCGCAGAAGGAAACATTATTTAATCACACGCACTGCATTAAGCTAATATATTTAACCAATTAAATTCAATTTAGTTAATTAATGGTGACCTAAATAAGGCAGAGTGCGCACGGTCGGTTGTGTACCAGTGTACTGTTGATTATGTGGGTCAAATATTACGTGTGTTCGTGACCTTATGTCTTAGGTACGTTTTCTAAGGGCACTGTAGGGCCATGAATCATTATAACTACGTGTCACTTTGAAGGTAAACTGCATCTGTTTGTACCAAGTAACTGATCATGCGTAAGTTTTGTTGAAATGTCCCATTTATTTGTGTTAGCTCATTTGTTCCACTTCCACGGCCGTTCCACGGCTATGTTGAAATTTGAAATGACTTTTTGCTTCATATAAAAGTTTTTATTGATGCCTTTTCCGTACTAAATTCCTGTATAATAGTATTGAAAATAGCTTTTAGTTTTACTGCAGTTACACAATAATTATTATAATGCAGCCTTATTGAAATCTAGGCAATCAATCAATTAATTTCAAATAGCTAAATTCCACAAATTACTGGTAGATCATTATAAAACCTGCCTCCAGGGCCTCTAAAAGACTTTGGACCAATATCTATTGCACAATATCATTTGAGTGTTATCGTACATTTTATAATCTGCCCAATCGACTTAGGGTTTCTATCGAGGAATACTTCATTTGTTTTCTAGAACACTCCACTCCGCACCTATTTTCCTTGTATTGTTTTTGTGGGACTTTGTTCACATCCTATTTCGTCGTAAGTTGCATAACCAACCTTGTTGATATTCACGTGTTGATCAATATCTGTGCCGTCATTTATATAAAAGAAGCGTTGTATAATACCTATAGGTAGGTTGAGTTCATTGGCCCCAGCATAATTGCCATTGATTTTTCGATCGATGTGCGCACGTGTATGACGTGTCCTGAAGATAACTCGCTTATTCGAGACTGTTCTTGAGTGAAGCCCTGTGGAGTAAAACGTATGCAATGGCTATTTCAGTAGGTGTTTGTCGAAGTATGTCAGTATGCCGACACGCGTCGCGGCGACAATTTCAGTTCGTTGGTGTCAGTATGTATCTCGTTCCTTAGAGACGATGCCCTAATTTCGTCCCTCACGCACGAGGCTCGGGAGTGGTCGACCCGTTTCCTCGAGTTGCGTGGCTACACTTTCACAACATGCGTATTTTTGTTCGTATTTTGTAACGATCTCGATGTTCCACGCTAACGTTGCTTGTATTTCACTGTTTTCTTTTGCTCTTTCATTCTTTTTATTTTTGTACAACTTGAAGGTTTTCGTGTATTGTTTATGGTGTTTACAACCTTCTCAGTTCTGTTTTATTAAGTAAAATTTCTATGTACATATTATGTTATTACTATGGTATTTCAAAATTCTGGGAATGTGCTCTGTTAGGTATCCAATGCCTAATAGCGCTCCATTTTGTTGGTATTTGAAAGAAACAAATTTGTTACGAAATTCGATAGTTGGGTATAATCATAATTAAATTATTCCTGCAGAAAGTTCGAGCGTATTTGAAATAAAATGTATTGTTAAATACTAAGGGGGAGGCCTTTGTTCAGCAATGGTCGTCTATGGGCTGCTGATGATGATGATGTATTAGGTAGCTACATTGTAGGTTTAACTTATTCAGGACGATGTGGAACGGTGAATTGTCAGGTTTTCCTTATAAAATTTTCAGAGAAGATATCACGAGTCTTTCATTTAGGCCAATGTTGTACCTACACACATTCATATGCTAATTTATAGCACCGTGTTTTTTTTTTCTAAAACTGGATATTTTATGAACAACATGCTAAGAGATGCTAAAAGGATCGGAACGGAAATGCCTTAATGACATTTTTTCGTATCTAATTAATTTTAATCACTATTTTGTTGACGTAAATGCATCCTGGGTTTTATGGCAAAAAATATAATTTATGGAGTCTATCTACAAACATTTGAAGAATACCGATGACACTGTAAATATCATAGTGGGTTACACGACCCATTTGAAGTACTTGGAAGTGCACGAGGAAGAATACAGCGACGTGCTCGACTCCAAAGGATGAGAAACGTTTACAATCAATTACAATCTCGTGTCGTAATTTCGGAATGTTTTTTTTAATCATACTAAGTTATCGGTCTGCAATCTGATTGCGATTAATTATGCCTTGTACAGACGAGAAAATTACCTCGTTATTACGTTGCCACAGTATTGCAATGTGCACCTTATGCAACTTTTTTGCGAGTGCACTATCAAATTGCGCTCCACCTAATCATTTGTTAGTGTAGTTGTCATAGGTCAGTTTCTTGCGACATCGCTAGATTAGATTACGTCTCTAAGATTAGATATGATTATGTTCACTGTTATTATCGTACTCGCGATTGATTAAGTTTTGATGACGTCGAATCGCTTTTATTTCTTCAACTACTAGCGCATTGATTAATATTTATAACTCTGAAACTATTTCCTATATTTCTGTTTGGACAGGTGTCTTCGTGGAAGCGTCACAGCGGTTGCTATTATTGTGTTTTCCATACGAATTAGTCATACTTCTAAAAATGATTTTGCATTCCACGGAGCAATGAACTCTGCGACGATTAGGGATTGTGTTCCTATTTCTTGGTCACTAAAAATATCGTGACTTGCAAATATTGTTGCAGTAATATTGTCTGATGCAGGTCGGTATTTAGTGCTTAGTTATTAAAAAAATCAGAAGGTTACGGTAATCAAAATAGGTACGATAACTATAACATTAATAACCAGAATGCAATATTTACATTAATTTAGTATTCTATAGGAGGAAGACTGCTGTGGAACTAGTCGTTTCGTATTTGCAATACCTGCTTACGATGCACTCATGCTCCTATAAACGGAACTTGATGCGACAGAACTTGTCTGACACCGTATTTAGATATGAATATTGACTCCTAAGGTGCAACTTCAGGCCTATAAAAGTGCGTTGTGAGTTCTGTAAGTTTTTGTATAAAACTAGTCGTATATCAGAGGTGATTGTGGCTGACAGTTCAGATGACCTTATTTACAGAGGCGGGCTCCACAAGGTTATCTCTGCGAGCCCTGTTGGCTTTCATATCACCGTATTTATGTTTGTCTCTATTATTGTAGATAGCACGGTTCACTCATCTACTTATAAGCGTGCACTAAGCAAGGTGCAAAAAGCTGCACGTACCGATAATACCCAAACTGCGATTGCCTATCGGGGTCCATTTAATGATGTAATTCGTCATTTTTGACAATCACTGAGCGTTAATTCGAGGGAGCAGCACTTGAACGATGTTAATGATGCATCGGAACCGGTAAGGACGAGTGTACCGGGACATAATAAAAACTTGTACCGAGACACGGACCGCGGCCGTTTTGAAAAACGATCCTGACGAGGCCATTATTTATTACAAAAGCGCATGATGATAATAGGAACGTATATTTTACTTTGTACCGAACGTGAAGCACGCGAGCTGAACGCACGCCTGTCCGTTTTTTGGCAAGCGATGCGGTTGGTTTCTGGGAAAGATTACATTCGGGACCTAAGTACCTGATTGTTTTTCGGTCACTCACCCTACAACGGTCCTTTGTTATTTTATTATAACAGGTTTTAATTTAATTTCGAAAATTGGGACAGTTCTTACGCAAGTTCAGGCGCGTCGGATGGTTCGTCTTCGGACTGCGGTCGCGGCAGTGTGTCGCTCATTTTGTTCTTATTACGTATTTAAACGAGTTGTTTACTGTCTGTGTGATGTAGCAATAACAACATAATTTAATGGGTTGCAATAATATTAGCATTTCTCGGAACAATAATGTTAGCAATCATGCAGGCTTGCAGTACTTGCAGTTCGTTCGTTTTTTTTCGTTCTAACATTAAGTAGCTGTTTGCAGCAGCGATCGTTGACAGCGGCAATTCCTCATACGATAATTTGTTGTGGCGAGTTCAATGGCCCTCAATTAGCCCCAGAGCCCTAGCCCTATTGAGATAAACGACTGCGGTCCTCTGTGTGTGCGAGAGTCCATCTCAATTTGCATAACGACCATCTCCGCCTCACCGATTATGCACATTAATATTTACTACGTCATTTAATGACCCGATGATAATATTTCCTCGAGTTAATTCAGTACTGCTGTTTAACATAGCATCTGCAGTTTCGTGCAATAGAGCGGTTTCAGTGAAGCGTGCAGTGGAAAATGTATGCGTTTCGTGTATAGATGTCGTAATAGGAGCAGAATCTGCCAGCGTAATATTATTTAATACATCGTGAGAGCAAGACATGTAATTGATTACAATGTTTGTGGTATGCGTAGATATTGGGATTTTATCTTTACATAGTGCTACTGAAAGTTGGTAATTTTTTCCTTTGCATACGTAGCATGATACTGCAATTGTGGAACGAGATTTTTGCATAACGATGATGGATTTGGTATTTTGAAGTTGAATCATCGATCGATAAACGTCTCTCAAGCTTGAACAAAAAAGAAGCAAGACTAATTTATTACCCAGGAATTAGAAAATAGGCTTTTCTTTCTATGTTAAAAAACTCTTTGGATAAACTCGACGATAAAGTCTATCTTATAGCTAATCCTGAGGAAATTACGTTACACTTAGTTTCTTGTAAAACCAGACTCGTAAGTCTCGTAAGTTATATGTCCTCTTGCATTCCACTGCACTCCATAACTTTATAAAGCAGCCGGACGTAAGTCGTTGTGGTTTGTCTGTCTTATATGATTGTTTTGTGCTGTGATTTCAATAGGTTGTAGTTTCTCGTGCTCTACAAAAAACGTTTTTTCTGTATGTTCTACAGGATCAAGTTTCCCCATTATTGCCGCTGTGTCGTTTATTTATCGATAATGTTTCTGTGCGTGTTGTTTAACTATATAATGTGCCCGTTGGTGCTATCTTTCGTCCTTCCCTACACAATATTTTTTTGGATGATAAAAAATGCGTGGATAACGAAAGGGAGTGCGGCTACAAAGGTCGCCATGTTTTTTGTCGTGTTCGAATTTCCTGTTGGAAGTTTTTATGGAATTTTTGGTCCTAAAACGTTGCTCTCAAATTTGAGAAAGATTTTTGTGAGGTCGGCATTTACTTGTTCAGTACATTTTGATCCAGTTCATCATTTGATAATAGAGTAGAATAGAAAAATTATTTATTGTACACCATATAAAAACATAAAGGACAATACAATGGGCGGCCTTATCACTAAAAAGTAAAAAAAGTAGTAATATTTTAAAATGACTTCTATCTTGTATTAATCATGCTTTTACTTTGCCCTCAGCTATTACCATCGGCATAAGAGTCCTAGGCCCTGCAATGGGCTTCCTCCTGGGGGCTCTGTGCACCAGGGTCTACGTGGACCCGCTAACGGACCCAGGATTCGATGCCAGTGACCCGAGGTGGGTTGGAGCTTGGTGGTTGGGTGAGTTTCACATTTTTTTTGTTTATTGCAATAAAATGCTTGATAAAATCTATTGATGGTATTGCCATAATAAAGCTTGCATCTGTACATTTATCCTAAAAGAAAAAGAATGTCAGTTTGTCAGTAAGTTTACTTATAGTACCTATTTGTAGTGTTGAACTAGCACAACTATGTCTAGCGATTGCCTGTAACCGATAGCATAATATCCATTCATTATTATGTTGCATAAACTGTTCTATACACGTCCATCCAGTTGCGTTAATGGTTTGAGAATGGCTCTAACAGAAACATCGCGCAGGCGCGTATGTTTTTTTTATAAACTACCCTCATTTTGTAGAAAAAATGTTCTACCTTCCGAAATCCGTCCCTACTACCTGCGTTTTTTCTTATTAGGTAATGATTCGACATAATATTATTATTATGTAAAACTTATTAGTTTTTTAAAACCGGTTTTTATAATATGAGTAGAATTTCCAGACTGCTGTAAATATTTTCAAGTTGTCATAAATGTGCTAAAATAAGAAATATAGGTTCCATTATAATTGAATTTATATGACAGCCACATAAAACTATAAGCTTATCCGTACAATACTAAACGGACGGTCGTTTCCATTTTACGGCTGTGTAAACATATTACAGTTGAAAATCGATACAAGTGGCTAGTAGCTACTGGATGATATAATATTTTTATTTATTTTAAACGAGTAACTAGACAGAGATAAAGATAAAGATAGTTTATTTGCAAATATGGGTAATACAATATGTGGTGTTTAGGTACATTGCGAGCTCAACCATATTTTACCAGGAGGCATGCAAATATGAATTAACAGATTATTAAAAGAATTAAATTATATAAAATAGAATCAATATTATCCAATGTACTTATTAAATTGATTACAGAAATTAAAATAGTCGCATTAACAAAATATAGGTATAGTGTCAAAAGATTATAGTTAAGAAATGTAATAGTAAAATAGATGAAATATCCAAGTTATTTAGTATTTAAAATATTATTCTATTCCATTGTCCATTAGAAAATCTGCAACATTGTAATATGCCTTGTCAACTAATAATTTTCTCAATTTGTTTTTTAATATTGACATACTCAAATCTCTCCAGGATTTAGGTAATTTATTAAAGATTTTATGTGCCATGCAACAGACAGATTGCAATAGTCAAATCATGCGCCGTCTGTGAAGCCAACGATATCAATCTAGTTCAAAAGTTATCAGACGTCATTGTCAAATAGATAAATCACAAACATTCATGATTTCAATGCGTTAACATAACATAACATCACGCCTTTTATCCCCGAAGGGGTAGGCAGAGGTGCACATAGAAGTAACACCCACTTTTCACTATTTATGTTATGAGTCCCATGTAATCATAAATTCGTCTCAAAGTCGTCGTCAAAAGCAAGACACATCAATGCGTCTGTAGAATTATTAGCACAGTATAAAGGCACGCTATTACAAGCCGCGTTAAACTATTTTTAGCACAAACGTGTTCCTTTATTGGATTCTATTTTTGGACGCAAACTCTGTAACATTACAAGCAAAACGATGACCTGTCCGTAGTTACAACGAAATCGAAGCAGCCAACATTCCAATGCGGAACACTCATCTACCGTTAGCAAGCACATGCACAGATTTGCGCGCGAAATCCACGAAGAAAGCACGTGCGTGACCCGCCTACCAACTCAGTGCGTGTAAACAAAACAAACTTCAACATACCACCCACAAAACACACTATACATCTTAAACACCTCAATTTAAAGCTCAAAATTCAACAGTAAAGCGCTTTTAGGAAGTTATTCGCACATCGTGTCGCGGTAGAAAACTGCTGCACGCGTGTCTCGACTGCTAACGCATTGAATTCGCGAATACGCATTGAATGATTTCTGCGTATTTCCTTATTGTTCATACGCTGCGTTCATGAATGAAGTTTTGAATGTTAATCAGTTTATTTTAACGGACATATTGTATCATTAACGTTGTATGGCTGGAAGTCCTAAATCGGTTGAGCATCATACAGTTTCGTGGTCGATATTAATTTTGGAATTGTTAGTACACATTTGAAGCCTATAAAATTTAAAAGACAACAAATTGTAATGTTTCATTTTTGGTAATTTCGTTACTCTATTCTTAGACTTGTGTGAATGTTCAAAAAAATTCCAGGTCATTTGTGAATTTTTAATTGCAAGTTTATTAAAAGGAATGTCCACTTATATACGAGATACAGACCATACAATTATTTGAGTAAATTGTATAGCGCCGGACATAAGTATATCTATAAAATGTCAGTTAAGTTCAACTTGTGACGATTTACGTTATTATAAGAACATTTCTCAAGGGATAATGAGTATACAGATCGTATGTTGCAAGATGTTAATCACCGCTCATTACTTCCACCAGCTGACTCCCATAGCGGCTCGATTGCATTGCAATTGTTTCTGAGAAGGGTTAGCGCGACATTCCTGGGTTGCATAATTAACACTGCACTGTAATGAGTTTTACCCGAGCTTTCAGTCAATGTTACTAGATTCCTAGCTTTAGGAAGCGTGTTACCGAGAGGTGTTATAAAACGCGGTGCAACGTGTGATGTGGTGTCATAGAATGGCGGGCGATGCAATTTCCAGTCGGCTTTCGCTTTTTTGTGCGCGGGCGTCACGCTGCGGCGGCGGCGGCGGCGCGGGCGCACGCCACTAGTTATATAACGCGTGTTACATCACGCCGCGTCACCACAGCTAAAATAAGCGCTCTATCCACAGCCGGTCACGGCCAAGGCTGCGCGCCTTGTTGCCGACAATTATGCCGTCGGTGCCCGTAATGAGGATTTAGTGGGTGGACACGCGACCGACGCCTTGCTCACTTTTACTTTTAAACCGGTTCTCTTGACCTTCGTCTTCTCCTGCCGACTCGCGCTGTAAACCCATACTTGTCTCCAAAATGTATTAGACACTGCGACTCTCTTATTGCGTTTCATTGTACAATTGAGCATGGTAAACAATGCTGTTCGGCTTGTGTATCCATAGTCCATACCTACCGTGTCTAGCGGACGCCCTTGACTGAACGTCGACCGGGCGACCTTGTGAACGCGCAAATGTTTTCTGTTCGAATTTATAGGAATTGTTTTTGATCGTATCCAAGGTTTTATGAGTTATTACAATTGCTGGTCTTTGACAATTGACAATTTTGGTTAAGTTCTTACTACTGATTTGCTCAAAACACACAGAAAGTTTCTCAAACTTCTACTGCTGCGGTTTTTATACGTATAAAGTTTCTGGTTTAGTTCACATAGCATGTTCCAGAATACATCTACGTACTACTTTTAAAACATGGCTGTTTTGCACTTTGTACATGTAAGTGGATAGATCATGCGATCAGTCTCGCGTCGGCGCCTCGCGGACCGTGAAATATTCCACACATTCGAGGTAATCTCCTAACGACTGCAAATGGATTAGTGGAATATTGAAAGGACCATTTCTCATTCACCGCCCGATAATTGTCATAATTGTAAGGTTCCATAATCTTGTTGATATGTTCTATAAACATTGACTCGAATGTGATCGAGTCAGCTACGAAATATCTTGTCTTGTATCACGAATTTTTTCGCAAATTTCGATTTTGATCTGCTTGCCTATGTATTGTTTGCACAAATAGATATGGTGTACGGTACTCATTAGATTGTGAGATCTTTGTACGAAATTATTTGTACACCGTTTTATTATGTCGATGATAACACGAGGGTACACACAAACACTGTTATAAACTTATTAGATATGTTTGGTTGAATGGCCCTAGACTATCAATGTATGGCCACCCACTCTAGGTCGTAGGCACTTTTGTTTGAACAGGGCTTATAGATCAGTACCTGCAAGGTATAAAATAATTTTTACACATTACAATCGTAGTGTGACTCGGTACTGGTGCCAATATTTGCTTTTGTCTAGTCACTCTAGCCATTTTTCAAAGTTTGTTTTCACATGATTTTAGACCATTCATTAAACATTATTAGCACAATGCTGGAGAACTTATCAATGCTTTAGTTTAGTACGGTAGCAGAGGAATATTCTTTTCGATTGCTGAAAAGAAAACTTGGTGTCTGCTTTGATTTTAGGACCAATTTTTGATTAGCAAAATATCTTTTAGATTAATTATGGCATCGAACAGATAATAAATAAACATCTGATTTACTAGCAAACTGTCATTATTAGTTAGTTCGAAATTTAACTAATAATGACAATAACTTGACATAACTATATTTTTTGGTTGATTGCTTTCAAGTCTTAATTTTTTTTATTTATCATTGCCATTTTTATTCCTAACCAATCTATATTCTAAAATATAATGTAATTCTTCCACAGGTATGGTGTTTGTGGCTTGCTTCGTAGTGGTGCTGTCCACCTTGATGTTCTGCTTCCCGCGTGCGATCAAGCAGGATCTCATACAGATGTCTGCCAAGAAGATACAGGAAAAGAATGAACCGATGTTCAAAGGTGAATATTTTATGAATCTCTTTTGAGCTCTTGTGCTCTTGTATCTTTATACGTATACCTATTAAGTTTTGAAGTGACTTGCATCATTATACCAGGATTTTCGGAGCTCCACAATAAAATGATTACACCAAATTATGCAATAGTTATTAACATAGAAGTGCGGTTGTATGTTAGTGATGCTTTTATATTTTGAAACATGTACTTAAAGTCCTACCTGTGTTTTTGTGAGATCGATAAGGAGTTTCTAGTTTCCTGTTTGGTTTTTAAACTTATCCGTATTTTTTTACATAAACGCTGCCAATACGGAGGAAAAAAAAAAAACGAACAGTCATTCTGTCTCCGTGGGTGGCCTATATTTTAATATATAGTAGTAATCCGGTTGATTAAACAAACATGATGTTGATTAATGCCGCCCTATTAACCAGATTCTTATAAAATTTTAACAAATTGTTGTGTTCTCGTGTAAGTTGGCAATGATTCATTACCCTTAGGTACAGATGGCAGCAGCGCCACCTTCTCCTTCATGTCCGATTTTTTTACTACATTTTCAACTTTATCATTTTGATATAGAGTTGAAGATCGTTGTTGTATATTGGAGTAGGTTTTCTTGCTGTCTATGTTTAGTTCCAGTCTATGTTGCCAGTGTTTTGAGAAATCTAATGTATTTTAAATATAGAATTAATGGTCGATATAAATTAGTTCTTAAGAATTTTGTGGTGCCGTGATTAGTCGGATTTCCATAAGGGTTAAATGCTAATGACAGTATTTTCCACTGTGGGTATGAGATAATAAATTCATCTACAATTGACAGATGTTGTCATGGACGTCCGTCCCCATTATATAGAAACGTCACTCTTGCTCAACTTATCATAGAGTTATCGCCCATTTATAAATAAAATTTCGGTTATCTATGGTAGACTTTGCTCTATGATATTCGACAAGCATGGTTCCGCCTTACCCCTTTCAATTGTTTTATTATTTGAATGAATAGCAAAGATTGAACATGAAAAAAAATCTACAGCAACCCGGTTCCCAAGTTCTAGATTTTAAAATTAGTTGGATGGCTTCCAAAATGATAAATAACACACAGATAACATAAAAAGTTGGCGGGAATCCGCGTTATCAACTTGACAAATAATGTCTCGTTGCTATTTCTTTTTGTCTCTTCCGTAAATAAAACTAGAGTTTAGTACACAATATGTTTTGTTTGTACACAAATTAATGTTGTGTCTGCGTCGGAAACTATTGCGAAATGCTTTTTGAAAATCATCTACTTTTATTTTAAAATGTTTGGGTTGCCTGTTTTAAAAATGTTGTTAGCCTGATATCGGTAGCAGCTCTTGGTTAGCTTATTTAGAAGACAATTACAAAAAAGAAAACGTAGAAAATTTATTACTTCTCCTAAGTTTTGTCTTTTAAACTTTTGCAACCATAATCATAATATAGTTTTTTTTTTTTTTTTTAATATTAAACGTTGCCCCACACTAGGATTTTCTCCTGTGTCGTGGGTGCGTTTACAAACATACAAGTTCACATACACATCACACCCAGACCCGAAACAACAATTTGTGGATCACCCAAAGTGTTGTTCCGTGCGGGAATCGAACCCGCGACACGTTGCTCGGCAGCCGGTTACCCAGCCACCGCACCAACCGTGCAGTCAAATGATAGTTAGTGCAGTTTTAGATGGAAACTAGATTTATGTTATATCTCCTTTGTTATCTTGTATAATCTTTGGAAAGGTTTCAACTATCTATTGAAACTATCAACACAACAAAATACGTTACCCAGATCAAGGTAACAAACACAAATAAATGACCATCCATTCTTCATTTTCCAGATTTCATTGAGACGATCAAACGGCAGCTTACAAACGACATTCTGATGTGGCGGACTGCTAGTTCGGTCCTCCACTTGATGCCTATCAGTGGGGTGTACAGCTTCTTACCCAAGTACTTGGAGAAGCAGTTCCAGCTCCCCACACATGAAGCCAACCTTGTTTCGGGTGAGGTACTTACATGAACACTCTTTCGGTAATCGTGGTCGACCACGCTGTCACCACGAACGCTTGACCTCTGGGTGAACTTATCATGGATGACTGGAAACAGCATTTTCTATAATTTATACTTTATTCTTGGAGAATTAAGATTAGTTTTTGAATGGTCTTTTGTTGCTTGAATAGCACAAATCGTAAAGATCTTTGGAGTCGATATGATTTATCATTTAAAAAAACCAAGAGAGATCGGAGTGCTGATTTATTCGTAAATGCGTACCTATTTTACATAGATTAAATTCTATGTAAAAGCTGATTTAATAGAATTAGACTTTTTAATGCGTGACTTTTTCTTTTCATTATTATTTCTTTTGAACCATTGTAGCGACCCGTATGCGGGACTATGAACCGGAAAAAAATATCATAGAAAAAAGGGATTCCGTATTTGTCCTACGAACTATTTATTATACTGGTCCTATTCATGCTTTTAAGGGGTAGTTTACACCCTATTGAAGAATAATATTTGTAATATTATTCTGTTAATTCTTTCTTTATTATCGTCCTGATCGATAGATTAAGGGATCCTTAATAATACAGAAAAAAATGACTTTGATACGACCATGTGAAATTCTGGGCCCGTTTTCAATAGTTCGTGCTTAGATTCATATCGCATTCTTTGAATTTCAATGGGAGAGTTCAAAAACCGAATTCTATGAATCTGGCCACCAAGTAGAGTAAAATTTACAATGAAGGGTCTTTAAGATTCTCTAATGAAACGTAGGGTAAATCACCGGGCACCCTTAATTACACGACGAAACACAACGCAATCGTTGTTTCACGCCGGTTTTCTGAGAAGCATTGTATTAAACTATGTATTATTTACGCAAAATTTCATTATGTACTGATTATTCTTTATTATCTATTAATAATATTGCCAATTTCACCGTTTTATTGTGCCTGTGAAGTTTGTAAACAGTTGAACATGTTATTGTTTAATATTCCAGGTATGGGTGGTATTATGGTGATGGGTCTCGGCACCATTTCGGCAGGATTCGTCATACTGAAACTGGTGCCTTCAGCTCGACAGGTGGCGGCCTGGACAGCTATGAGTGCTGCTATATATAGTGCTGGTAAGAACATGTTGCTGTTTTAGAAGCTTTTAGTTTTTTCATGGAATAAGAGGTAAAAGAATAGACATCATCTGATGGTAAGCGATCATCGTCCATAGACTCCTAGAATACTAGAGGAGGAGTTACAAATGCGTTGCCGGCCTTTTTGTTACCGCAGAGGCGGGTTGATAGAGCCAGACCACCGCAGATGGAGTCCAATAGGGCTGATGCCGATACGGAGCCGCGGAAGACTTAACGGGTTGCCGGGGCTCCGGCTCGGAAGTGCAGAAGTAGGAATGGGGTGGTTTTAAGTCAGTAAGAGTCTAAGACTTCTCGCTTCAACCGGTTGAGAGAAGTTATTGGTTGATTTTCCCCCTCAAAAAAAGGAGGCGGGGTAATAGAGAGCGCCCTAGGTATACACCTCAAAGGCGTCCCTAATTTTTGGCGCCACCATCACTCTATCGGCAGTTAGGCACGCACGTCTCGCGGCCCTCCTCTGTTTCCTGGCGCTCTAACCACTTGACTAGTTTGCCTTAAAGATAACACGGCTCTGTTTTACCGGCGGGTTGTTACCATCGTGAGGCAAAACAGTTTTTCTTAGAATGTAACTGCATTGCTTGAGCAGTGTTTAGGCGAATGGTTACTATGCAATCTTTTGGGGATTCCATTCCCAGACGGAGTAACTCTTCATGTGATCCACAAATTATTGCAAGGGGGAATGTCACATACTCATACCACGGGGCTTCACCCATTGTACAGTCTCTTTTGTGCCTTTAGGCTTAATTCATTCTGTCTCCTGCAGTAATTCATCGAGGGAAGTGGAATCTATAGTTTTTTTTCTTCTCCTCTTATACCTCTAATATCTTCTGATTCACTTCGTTGCGGGGATCAAGACAGTTATTCATGTCTCTGGGACGCGCCGGACTCCAGTGTTCCGGTGTTTACATGGTTTTATCTACTATAGATCCTGACTTACAGGAGTTGCAGCGGTTTTGGGAGGTTAGGGCGGGCTTGTCCCATACTCGTACCACGGGGCTGGAAGTGTGACACTAGGATAGAAAGAAAGAAAAACCATTTATTTTGCTACGACACATTACGACACAGGATGACAATTTGGCTCAGCCTACATGGGACTCATCAGTTAACTAATGAAAATACTTAATGAATATTATTAAAAAAGTTTCACTTATTGATTTTCTGGAATGATACCTTCAGAGACTCAAGACGTGTTCTAATGTTACTGCAAAATTAATAATTTACGTTTAATTTCCAGGTATGATATTGCTGATGTTCGTGAGTTGTCCGGAGGAGAACTACAGGATGATTAGTGAAGGAGGCAGCATTCCTAACAGCAGTGTGGAGTGCAGTGCGGGCTGTTACTGCGCTGATGTGGCCTTCAGTCCTGTTTGTGGACAGGTCAGTTACGTCTAAATTACTTTTTTTATGGCATAAGCCGGTAAACGAGCATACGGATCACCTGATAGTAAGCAATCGGCGTCGCCCATGGGCACCTGGAACCCCAGAGGCGTTATAAGTGCGTTACCAGCTTTTTGGGGATTAGGAGTTTGAGGATCATTGGGGATTCAGGGATTGGGGAGATTGGGGAAGGGGAGGGTAATTGGGCCTCCGGTAACCTCACTCACACGACGAAACACAACGCAAGCGTTGCTTCACGTCGGTTTTCTGTGAGGCCGTGGTATCACTCCGGTCGAGCCGGCCCATTCGTGCCGAAGCATGGCTCTCCCACACTTAAACTTTTAACCTAATTTGTATCATAGGCTAAGGCATAAACGTAAAACAAACTCGTAGCTTACTACGAGTTTGTTTTACGTTTAGGCCAGTAGAGAGAGGTAGATTAAAGTATTCGAAACGAGTACGCGTTCTGCGCTCTGATTGGCCGGCTCGAATGAACCAACCAATCAGAGCGCCAAACGAGTAATTAAATCTTGTATTAAGGTCCCAGTTAAGAGTGTCTTTGCATTGTGGTTATCCACGTTTGTGAAACTTATGCAACAGCATTTTGGAATGCTAAGTTTTAGTTTATTTTTATCGCAATATTGACCAAATCTAACTAAATCTTCTTGTAATAGCTGACAATCATGAAAGGTTTTTATGGTTTTAAAAATTTTTAGGTCATCTGCGTAAAGGAGTAATTTGGAATATTTAAAACAGTTGTTTATGTCATTAATAAACAATATGAAAAGAAGAGGCCCAAGAATCGATCCCTGAGGTACTCCAGATGTTGCCTCTATCGTAACAGAATTATAACCATTGATAACAACCCTCTGAGTTCGATTTGAGACGTAAGAAGCAAACCATCTCAGCAAATCGCCGTGCACACCATTGAAGGCGAGCTTAGCCAGGAGTAGTTGGTGATCAACCTTGTCAAAAGCTTTTTGAAAATCTGTGTATATTGAATCGACCTGTAAGCGCGAGTCCATATTATTAAATAAATAATCTACAAAACCAACCAAATTAGTTGTAGTGGACCTTCTTTTTACGAATCCGTGTTGTTCCTGTATTATTTGATTGTGAAAGAAGGGATAAACTTTATCATGGACTAGCCGCTCAAATACCTTTGATAGAGTAGACAGTATCGATATAGGACGATAATTCCTGATATCCTGCTGAGAGCCCGACTTATAAACTGGCGTTATGTTTGCACTCTTCCATAAAGTAGGGAAGACACCTTGAGAGATGGATTGGTTGTATATAATACATAAGGGGATACATAAGTGCTTAGCAAGTAATCTACCCCTGTTCCAAGTTGGCGTCCCGTTATCCCGATTCCTTCTGCTGTTTTGACGTGACTAAGTAACAAACGCACAAACAGACACAAACTTTGGCATTATAATGTTAGTAAGATTTTTGTTAAGCTAGGAGGTTTTGCAAATCACATTATTAGCTCATTCCTGGGCCCGTTTCCTTCAGTTTTATTTTATGAATTTGCAACTTTTAATTCTTTTTTTGGACATAATGTCGCAAGTTCGCAACAAGTAATTTTATCTATATCTATCTATATTTATACATATAATAAAATCGTAGTAAGTCAAAATTGTACATTGAATATTTTAAAATAATACTTGGGGCGTGGTCTGCAATTGATACCGAAGCCAAAAATATAGTTTTTGTCTGCTTGTCTGTGTGTATGTCCGGGATGATCTCAAAAAGTACTGCATGGATTTACTTCAAATTTTGCATGAATATTACTAACAGGTCGGGTCAACATGTAGGCTACATATTGTCACGCTATCATCTACGGAGAGGAGCCCTATACCTAGTGGTACTTAATCAATTCTGACGACATTCGTTACCGTAGAATATCCCTTGATAAAGTCTAATTCAAAAGCATAAATTCTGCCAGAAGTCATTATTCTACGTCGACGAAGTCGCGGGCAACAGCTAGTAGTCAATAATATTTCACCGATTTATCTTTTGTGATGTGTACATTTTACAAAGAGAACTGACCTAACATTATGGTGTGATATTGTTACAGAATCGAACGTTACAACCTATACAATTCATCGGAGGAGTATTTGTCGAATCCCCTGGGTTTCGCCGTGAGTGGAGAATGTGGCGGGTCGTGTTCCCAAGTGTACGTGTTCGTGGCCGTGTTCGCCACGCTCATGTTCATACATGCCAGCGGGGAGGTCGGCGGCGTACTACTTATCATACGCTGCACTGACAGACAAGGTAATTGAATTATTTGTGCATATGCTGACGTATCTGTATCTTTTTTTTTTTAAGTTTTGTTTGTATTGTAACTTTCGTGAGACATACTAAATAAATTATTATGTTCTCGGCTTACTCACGTAGTAATTTGACGAGGAACTCGACTAGTTTCAAGCCATGCTAGAGGCTCATATTTGTTTTTTTCGTTTTGTTTGTTTCGTTTTATAGCCGTGTTCACTAACCACCTGTAAACTGTATACTGACATATAAGTTCTTAGCGTGACATGGCATCTAAATTAACGCCTTACTTCAATACACTGTTAGGTCTCATTTGTATGTCGGTGAAAAGAAAAAATGACATTAAATGTCACCTATTTTAGTTTATTAGCAGGTTCCTTTTAATTTAGGAGAGGTTGATGAGAACGGGCATACCGAAAATACTGTGTGTTAGTATCGCAAGTAACATGTCTTTCTCTGTCTGCGGTGTACAGATGCTAGGCTATCTCGTGACATTAGACTTTAAGTGTTAGTAGATAATCAATTTTATTATACAACAATAAGGCGGACAATATATTAAAGAAAATTGATAGTGATAACGATTACTGTTCTTTAGTAACGATTACTGTTCTTTAGTAACGATTACTGTTCTTTAGTAACGATTACTGTTTTTTAGTAACGATTAATGTTCTTTAGTAACGATTACTGTTCTTTAGCAACGATTAATGTTCTTTAGCAACGATTTTGTTCGGAAAACAGTTGCTAAAGATTGAGTGTCCATTAAATGACTCTAAGACGACATACCGATTAAGGCCGTAACATCGATAGTTTATTTTTTATTATTTAATGTTATTCACTGTCTCTTGGTCCGTGCTCTTGTCATATTTTTTTTACAATACGTCTAATCAATATTTATAAACTACCCAGTAACACACTACAATTAACCACATCTATTAATTATTATTACAAGAATACTACTACTAAACCGATAGTTACAATAGTGGTTATTTACATGATTTTGTGAGTTTTAATTATTAATAATATTTTTACAGACAAAGCGATGGCGATGGGTGTGATTCAGTTCGCAATAGGAGCGTTTGGCAACGTGCCGTGTCCGATAGTGTTCGGCGCGGCCGTGGACGCGGCCTGCCGCGCGCGGGACGCCGTCTGCGGGATTCTCGGCGCCTGCGCATCCTATAATAACGATAGCTTCCGATACTTCTATTTAGGTGCGTACTTTCTGTCTTATTATAATTTTTATGGTATAAAGTGGCAAATGAACAGACGGAATTCCTGATGATAAGCAACCTTTATCGCCCATCGACACTCGTAGCACCAGAGGAAATACAAGTACGTGGTCAGCCTTCTAGGAATTGGAGATTTTGGGGATACGGTGAAGATTGGGCGGCCGGTAACTTAACACACATGGTGACAACACTGTGTATTGTGAGTGGTTACGCAAGTGTGGGAGAGCCATGCTTCGGCACGAATGTACCGGCTAGACCGGAGTGATACCACGGCCTCACAGAAAACCGACGTGAAGCAACGCTTGCGTTGTGTATCGTCGTGTGAGTGAGGTTACAGGAGGCCCAATTACCCTCCCCTTCCCCAATCTCCCCAATTCCTGAATCCCCAACGATCCTCAAACTCCTAATCCCCAAAAGGCCGGTGACGCACTTGTAACGCCTCTGGTGTTCCAGGTGTCCATGGGCGACGCCGCTTGCTTACCATCAGGTGATCCGTCTGCTCGTTTACCGGCTGAAGCCATAAAAAAAACGTTTAGTTCTTTTTTCGCACGCGTTTGCACAATTCATAAAGAGGACTGGGTGTATGATTTTTTTGTAGTTTTATAACGCCTGTGTACCTGAAAATGTTTACGACATTATCATTGATCATTGCTATTTATTTTATAAAAAATCATGCTGCAGTTAATATTTTAATGTTACTGTCTCTCATTACAGGTTTGTCGTCATTCCTAATGTTCCTAGCATGCATAATGGACATTTTGGTGTGGAGCAAGGCGGGTCGCATTGACATGAACCCGGAGGAGCACCCCGAACCCGAAGGATCCGTGGCACTCACAAACCCATCCGATACACAACTCTGACCTCAAACTAACTACGAGTCACACTTGTAAGTGACCACACGACCTTAAGCCAAGGCAATACGGTTCTTATTTCAACCGTTAAAAACTTAAACTTAGGCGTGGGACAATTAACCTTACTTGTAAGTGTTACGGTCTAAATTGCAACGACACTGATCTGAATAAATCTTAGCCGCGGACAGTTATTAACTATACATGTAGTTTACCCAGTGGTAAGATCGATAATGCAACGACGCTGATCCAGTTTCAGCTATCGGACAATTGTGAATCTTATACTTGACTATTAGAGTCGAAATTTGTATGCAAGAGGATCTGAGAGTTGTGTAGTTTTAGTAAAATTTATTATCGTCTAAAGTTAAGGGGATGGCAGTAATGTGAAGGATTGTGGGTCCAGTAGTGGGCCCCAGCGACGGTAGTTACTGATGTGTTAGTTGTCCGAGTGTCGGCTAGACCGCCATTGAGAGCCATATTTCAACACAGAACAATGCATGCGTTATATTGTATTTGGACAAAACCTAGGTACTATTTGTATATACTAATTAACATACGCCAATATTTTGGTTATTTATTAGATTCTTGCTAACATTACCTTTTTAGTAAAATGCCAGTGTTATTGTTTGAACTTTACGGTTTCCATGGCAACCCTTCAACCTGACTGAACAATGAAATACTTGTATCGTGCATTTTATAATAAATCTGTGCATTTTATACACTAGTTACTTTACCGCATAAGTATGTGCTCAATTTTGTAAACATAATAAAAAAGTAATAAAACTACAAATGGGTTCAGGCATAATATATAAAGTTACATATTACTATGATAATAATTATTTGGGAGCAAGTGTTTATACGAAATTACAGCTAAAACGATTAGAGCCGATATTTGGCGAACATAGCATTAATTTTTAGGTAAATAAAATACATATATATATACTATTTAAAAGAAGGTTTTGGCCCACTAACGCACGGGTCTTTTTACTTAGCTAATATACTGTGTTAGTGGGCTTCAACCGTCTCTGCATATTTTTCATCAGTCCCATAGGACAATAGGAAGCGCTCAGCTCAGCACATCACTTTAATACATCACTCAGTTAACAATATCTATAAATGGGACTGAATACAAGTTTTGATAGCACATATTGTCATAATAATGATTCTATTCTAGTATAGATTATAATACTGGGTTTTTGTTGCGCAAATGATAAACAGAAGGCCTAGTATGAATTACTTAACTTTATAGAGATCAAAATGTTACCACGTTAACCTTTCTGAGGCCTTAGTACGAGTTTGATTTACGTTTAAAGTATTCGAAACGAGTATGCGTTCGGCACTCCGATTGGCCGGTACCAATGAAGCAACCAATCACAGCGTCGAACGCATACTCGTTACGATTACTTTAAACGTCAAACCAACTCGTACTAAGGCCTCTAATTGTTTGGTTCATTGGAGTTGGCCAATCAAAGTGCCGAACGTCATAAATGTCAAAAAAACTCGTGTTAAGCTCAACCACTAAAACATTTGCGCAAAATCACATTTTACTGTTGAGCGTTAAAGTTCATATTGCTATAACGGCAGTTTAGGCGTTTATTAACATTTAGGTGATATTAAAAATGTATTGTACCTTTTTCGTAATTTAATCCAAAGATCACATACTTAATATTCGCATCTCGATGGATGAGATTAGTTTATCAATTTTAGTAATGGAATTTTTATTGTGGCAATGTGTGTTTACAACGCATAATATAATTATTTCGATAATTACGATTTACATGGCTAGTGATTAGACGTTTATTTTTAGTGTTAGTCAAAGATTTTTTGTAACAAATTAATACTAAAATCCCTGTAAATAATATTAAATGAATTAAACAATATAATCACAATTAAAATAGTATAATTATAAGAGTAAATAAATGTTTAGGATAATTTTCTGTTGTCTTTTCACTCTTCGTAATATAATAATCTTTTTTATTATTATTATTATACAATTATACATCTGCACTGTGGTTTGTCTGTTATGTATACACTTTTATAATCGTCTAAATATATAAATATTATTATATATACAGTTTTGGGCATTGTTTATCAATATATATTTAGTCACAAATGGTGTGGAGGTAAAAGTACGTGTGTAGAACCTTTTTGGTCGAATAGGTAAAATTTGGTAATAAGAATGTACTGTATAAGGTTTGTAGACCTAGGAAATGTGAAGATCTAAATTAAACTGATGTTTAATGAACATTATCGTGTTTTGACGAAGTACCGTAGCCGTCATTGGAGCTATCTATGTTATATGTAATCGATAAAGTAATAAAAGGCTGGGCGTTTGTGTAAAACTGATTACTAGAATAAATTAGGTTAGCAATTCATTATTTTTTCTGAAAACAAACATTCTAAAGTTTTGTCTTTGTGTAATAATATTACTTTAACATATACGTCCTTTTGTACCATGCTGTATTTCGACTGCATCGTTATCCAATATTGAACTATTATGTCTTAATGATAGAGTTCAGTTTTCCTAAGTGGATTGTGCAATTTTTTTTGTATTGTACAAATGGTGTTACTTTTTTGAGTGACTTTTTTATATACTATAATTGTTTATTATATTATATATAGTAGTCATAAATAAAAAGGCTTAGTGAAATATAGTGTGTTATTACATTGGGACTGATACAAAACTACTGAATTTGCGACTGATATTGAAAATTAATAAATATACAAGTACAAGGAACTTTGGTACTAATTGTGAATGAAATGTAACGGCATAATAAATTGTATTTGCTTACAACGAAATGTTGTTAGTTTGTAATTTGAAGGACATGCGAAAAAATGTTTGAAATTACATTATGTTTCATTGTTGTATTAAAAATTTATATTAATCACGCAAATAAAATAATTCCTATCGGTAATTAATTAATGTTCTGCATGCAAAATATCTTTAATTTAATAATTCTAACACTTAATTGATAAAACGAATTTATTCAACAAATATTGTTCCTTAAAAGTGTGCATTATATAAACAAGTGCAATTTTCGTTGCTATATTGCTATATATATATCATACGCACTGAGGATTGCTATATATAATTATATATTATATTATATATAGTAATTATGTCCGTCATCTACTTATGTTTATTGACTAAGAGCAATTTAAAGTTAATATTTAAGTTGGCTTTAATAGTAAAATATTATTCTGTTATCGTAATATACCTGTGTGAAATGTGTGCTGTAGAATGTATTAAATTAGAGGAAATATATACCTAATGTTGTAACTTTAAAATTAAATAATGAATTGAATAATTGTAGAGAATAACATCTTTGGGAGATTAAATAAGGAAATATTATATTGATAAAAATAACCTAAAAATATTGAAAAATTTAGAAAAATCGAATATTAGTAGAGAATTGTATTGCATGTGTTACTGTTTTGTCGTGTTTTCGTATCTTATATTTAGTTAAAAAATAAAGAATCACACATTCATTCTTATAGTTATTTAAAAATATCTTCGGCAAACTTTGTTGCTGATTACTTTTCAACCTTAAGCCTTTGACGATAAGATTGAAAAGTTTTTAACACGAGAAGCCAAACTTTTAATATTTGTGTATGTCTATACAACTGTCCTACTTACAATTTACTTCTCAGTGGTAGCTCTTAGCTGAATTTTTGTTGTTTGTTGCTGTAATATTAAAAAACTACATTGTAAGAATAAAAAATAGCGAACACAATTTTACTAGTCTACGTTTAGTGTTAGAGAATAATACCTCTGGAATTTAGATATAAAAAGAACCTGTAACCGTCTATTACTTTAAATAATTTCTACTTATAACTAAAACTATTTGTGAAGCGAAATTATGATAAAAATACAAACTTATTTATAGTAACTCCTTTCTAATTGAACCTTTTTTTATAATCTGTCTACTTCTGAATTTAAATTTGAGATTCTACAATTGAAATGTTAAAAGAAAGTCTGCAACAAAACGCACATTTGTAAAGCAACCTTTTCTGTACGTATACGTACAAACGGTCTGTACGTGTGTGTGTGTCAAAAGTTTCAAAGAGTTTTTGTGTTTAATGCAGTACAAATAAAGTCCAAAATGTAATAAAATATTTGACAGATTGTAGGTTCATATGCGTCTTTGTATGTTGTGTGAAGATTTTTTTCTAATAATTTTCTGAATTGTATTGGTTTTAACGAATCCGTGTGCGGTACGCCTCCAGTACATACGTTTACAAGTTAAATCGATAAGTACAGTGTAGATTTGTTATTGTGACGTCGGATCACATATTTTTAATTATTTGTAAATAAAAATTATTAAGATGTATTATCTGTTGTTATTTTTTTATTTACCCATACAGTAATAACAGGTTCTGGCTTGATTACCCAGTACCCAATATTGTTTTTTTTTTATAAGAAAAGCACGTTGGTTATCTTGCTCTTTCAGTTATAGAGCTATTTCATTAGCAGATCATATGACAATGCACTACTGGACTATGCCTTTTCTACATAAGTGGGTTAACCACAACCTCCGCGCTTGGCAGCCGGATTAAAGATTACATTTTAAAAAGCTTCTAGCTCATCAGAGAGAGCTGTTTGTTCTATAGTCTCGATCAAAACCCAAATCCATAATTCTCAAATGTCTAACTCCACATCCAATAACGCACTTGTAGTACCGTAAAACGGGGTGAATAGAATTCGAGGGGTGAATAGATACAGAAGAGGGGTGAATAAATGTTGGGAAAATATTCTAACATTTATTCACCCCATTCCTGTGTTGCAGTTATCCATAAGCGACGTCGTCAATTGCTTACGTTTAGGCGATTACTCTGCTGACAAATTGGCGTATTGTTTTTGTCGTCATGGTAAGCAATCGGCGTCGCCTATGGATACCAAAGGCGTTACAAGTGCGTTATCGGCCTTTTGGGATTAGGAATCTGAGGATTATTTGGGTTTAGGAAACTGGGGAGGGGAGGTAATTGGGCGTCAGGTAACCTCACTGACATGACGAAACACAACACAAGCGTTGTTTCACGTCGGTTTTCTGTGAGGCCGTGGTATCACTCCAGTCGACCCGGCACATTCGTGCCGAAACATCTCTCCCACACTTAAAGTTGACCTGTTAGCTGTTGTATAAACTACTTTTTAAATAATATAAAGAGGGTCAAAGAAGACTGGAAACTTACAAAATTACATAGAGATAGATATAGAAAACCAAAATTATTAGATACTTACCTACAATATTTTGTTTGACTTCGGTTTTCTGTGATGCTGTGGTATTACTCCGGTCGAGCCGGCCTATCGTGCCGAAGCATGGCTCTCCCACCTTAACTTGACCTGTTAGCTGTTGTATAAACTACTTTTTAAATAATATAAAGAGGGTCAAAGAAGCCTGGCCACTACAAAATTACATAGAGCTAGATATAAAAACCCAAGATTCTTACCTACAATATCTTGATTGACGATTACCAGATTGCACGGGATTTTACCTTAAAATCACGGATGTTATTTTTAGCAGCGTCTAGGTCGTCATAGGTAAATGTTTATTTAGGTATCAGAAAGGGACCTTAACTGACCCACATTACTAAAAATGCAATTTCTTGCTTAAAAGGAACAACCATTTAGTACCTAGGTGTAAATTAAGTAGGTTTTATTGCTAATCCTTTTTAATGTAGCACCACTTATCATTATCATCATCAACATCCTATGAATACCCACTGTTGAGCAAGACCTTTTCTCGCACGAGGAAGGTTTGAGCATTAATCACCACGTTTGCTTACTGCGGGTTGGCGAATAATTGGAAATTAGACTTGATATTAATTAGAAATTATAAGGCCAGGTTTCCTCACGATAAGACTTAACGGGTTGCCGGGGCTCCGGCTCGAAGTGCAGGAGTAGGAACGGGGTGGTTTTTAGTCAGTAAGAGTCTGACAGTCCCTCCCGCCTCACCCGGGCGGGAGAAGTCATTGGATGATTTTCCCCCCTCAAAAGGTTTCCTCACGATATTTTCTGTCTAAATAATCTTAGAAAGTATATATATCTTGGAAAAATTCACATTGGAACTTGCCGTTGGTAGCTTGTGACCCGCATGCATGAGAAGCGGGCGTACGTAAAAGTCAGTCATACAAAATTATTAATATTATTACAATAAAAAAAAAATCGAAATGAAATGTTGCTCAGAGATTATAGCTTAGATTTTTGATCTCGAGAACACCAATTAAGAAACCAATTAAAACAGTAACCTTAAACAAAACCGCATATTACATTAGGGATAATAAATAAAATCAAAATCAAAATTATTCAGACGGATACTTAGACAGGTTTTAGAAAAATACACGTTTATTTTAAAAATCCTATCTAAGTTTATGTAGTTATACAAAAAGCGGAATAAATTTACTTTAAGCTCGGTGTACCATGATCGCAACTTGATGTTAGGCAATCTCTACACGATCCTGTACTTTGACTTCGTAGAATACAAACGGGTAAGTAGAATTATAATAATAGTCACAAAAGAGTGTTTTACTTAAAGTGAAAATGAGAAGTCTTCACGTAGCATCTACTCCTACACTACGTGTCGTAGTGACTACGTCTTTACGTAGCACCTAGGCCACCTCTACGAAGCGTAGCAAATACAACGTCTTTACGTAGCACGTACGCCACCGCTACGTAGTGTAGTTGCTACATTATCTTTACGTGACACCCACGCTTACTCTACGTAGCGTAGCAGCTATACTGTTTTTACGTAGCATCTGCACCATATCTACGTAGATATGGTGGCTTTTCATAGCACAGACCTACATCACCTCTACGTAGCGTAGCGACTACAACATGTTTACGTAACACCTACGCCACCTCTACAGCAACTACAACGTAACCGCCGCATACTCAGGTCTGGTTCCTCTCGATCTGCACCAAACAAAGCCGGGTGCGAGTGGTCGCCTCTACTGATCACTTCCCTGAAGACACGTCCATGCTCAGCCCAAGCACGGATCTCCAATCAGCCTGCCCAGCATAGGGACGTCCTACGTCCTACGTTACAGTGCTGTTAATTTGTTGTTTAACAAATCATTAATAAGTTGTGTAACTTCAACTTTAAACTTTAAAATGAGATCATGTGTAGCTGCCTTTATTCACACGTGATCTGAAGATGCACATACGTCACGTGCAATGTCGAATTGATTAGCGTGGCTCACCTCCGCGTAATATATTGTTTTTGGACAATAGATTAGGGGATTTTTTCGCAATGATTACGTAATATTGTATTCTTGTTAAAGCTTGAATGTATCAGAATTTGTTATAATTAGGTAAATACATGAATATCAAGACTTAGATATTCTTGAATGTTCTTTTTCGTTTTATGGTTATGTTTACATCTAGATAATCATCACACAAAGAATTAGAAGCTAGGAACTAAGGTACGGTGTATGAGTCGCAAAAGTGTAGGACACAGCAGTGATTATTTTCTACTATACTAGATATATTTCTTCTACTATACTAGATTCTACTATACTATAGAAGATTTAACTGCTTAGCAGGCCTTATGCAGTTACGTAAGTTTCAAAACAAAGCCGCAGAGAAAGATCAAAGAAGGATTGATGACAGTCATAGGGAGAGTCATACTTCGGCATGAATAGACTTAAATGGTTCCACGACCTCACAGAAAATTGGTCCGAACGAGTGTGAGAGACCAAGTACCTAATCCTCCCCAATTCGTAATCCCCAAATCCTACACATAGGGATAGATAATTTCCACGATACGACTTATTTTGAAAAATCGAAGCACTTACAATCTGAATTTTGGATCTGAAATTAAAGTGACTTCGAATCCCATCTCAAAGAACTCAGGTGACAACAGGAAAACGCTACATTTTACTATTTTTATTCGTGCGTAAAGTTGAGCATTGTCACCTACCTGTAACAAAACTGTATGACTAGAAATTTTACCGATTTCGCACAAACAAGGATGATTCGTTGATTTTGGACAATAGCTGGGCCCTCGTATATAAATTGATGTACGGCTGACCATCCGTATAGTTACTTTTGAGACAAACAACAGCTTCAACATGGTCAGAATAGCGCTTGTAATGTTGGCAGTGTTCGTGATCTCCTGTTTGGCCGCTCCAGGTAATTTCTAAGGGTTATAAATAGTATTTTAAGTCCTGTTAATTATCAATTCAACCCCTTTTTTATATTATAAGTATGCTACGTACCTAAGTAGTTTTCCTTTTTCGAAAATTCAGTCAATCGTTTCAATGATATAATAAGTGTCGATTTAGTAGGCGAAATTCACTGGCAGATGGCAGACCCTACTTGTTGTATTCCTCTATTCAATGCTAATTCAGAAGTTTTACACATTGAATCATCGGAATCACATCACAAATAGAATAACGAATTGTTTTCATGGTTACAAAGGAGAACGAGTAAGAAGACACGGCTATGACTTCAGCCATGGGGGCTACGGTGGTGGCTACGGTGGGGGTTACGGCCACAATGGACACGGTGGCCACGGCTTCGGAGGTCACATCCCCATCTCACAGTCCTTCTCCAAGTCCTCAGCCAGTGCCAGTTCCAGTTCTGGGGGTGGCACGATTGTGGGCTGATGTATTTTGAGTAAGGTATGTTCGATAACATATTCTATAATATACATAAGTCACCTCAAACCGACCGATATAGAAGTCATAGGCCTATGTCCAACAGTGGACAACTTTGGCTGTTATGATTTCATATAATGATGACGATTTGTTAATAAAGTTCACAAATATTAATAAAGTTATATAGAGGTATACATTCAATATTTTCTCAAGTGTATATAATGTGAACAGTTCCCATGCTTTGGCTCGAGAAGCTTTTCTCTAAAGGATTAGTATTTGTTCAGAGTACTTCAGAGTAAATACCTAGTTTAATGAAGTTACTAACGTGATCAATATTTTTCTTTGTTTCAGACAACATATTCATACAACTCCGCTATCCCTCAACGGATATTTAGATCTAAAACTAACTTAAGTAGGTACAACTGTAAGATGCCTTAGATACTAAGTTAATAACATAACATTTGTGATAACGTTTGCAAAAACCTAACTACGAGGCTAACAATAATGTCTAGGACTATTATTAACTAATTTATTTACCTAGAATTAAATAAACTGATTGATTTTTTGCAATTTACAACGTTTATTACTTCTCCTTATGTCCTTGTTAAGGCAATCAAAGTGTTTATCAAAGTATAAAAAACAATGTCTAAGTGCTTGTGTGACGACACTTATACTTAGGTAGGTACTCTATACACGGATGTTCGTTCATATTTTGATTATTCTGTCTATTTTGTATAATAAATATGGACGTAAGTATCTGCCTTAAGTAAGTATTGTTCATACTTATTCACCAGTTTTTTGATCATTATCTGTAGTATCCATGTGGAGTCCATAATTGTACCCGGTGACATATCATTACTGGTGAGCACATTGTTAATGTGTCAGAGCGTACGATGCATTAGATCACCACAGATGGGGCTGATGCCCGAATGATTTTAAAAGAAAAAGAAGAGCAAGAGTAGGTATGGTAGGAGTAGGAATGGTGTGATTTTTAGTCTGTTTGAGTCTGTTTTTTAAGGGGGGAAAATCATCGAATGACTGCTCCCGCCTAGGTGAGGCGGGAGGGAGTGTTATACTCTTACTGACTAAAAACCACCCCGTTCCTACTCCTGCACTTCGAGCCGGAGCCCCGGTAGGTTCTCAACGACAGTAAGAGTCCGACACTCCCTCTCGCCTCACTCATGGATGATTAATCCCCCTCAAAAATAAAGAACATGTAAACCTCTGTCTACCTCTTTGAGATTTAAAGGTGTGATGTAATTATGACATAACATCCGAACAAGTATGCGTTTCCTGAGTCTCACAAAGCAACTAACGTGGTGACTGAGTATTTCAATAGCCTCACTTCATTTACAAAGTTTACCTAATAATGTATCTCTTGCGGTGTATTAAAAGGCATGATGTCTAATACATTTATTTATGTTCTATTGTAACCGACTTCAAAAAAAAGGATGAGGTTCTCATTTCATCATCTCTATTTTATAATAAGAAAATGTCTTTTTCTATACTTTTATACATAACTTTGTGTAAGAGACACTGTATATGTTGCGTGATTTGACGAATGCATGCATCCTTCACAAATAATAGGTATATCCTTCACTTCGAGCCGGGGCCCCGGTAACCCGTTAAGTCCTCCGCTGCTTCGTATCAGCATCAGTCCTATTGGGCCCCATCTGTGATGGTCTGGTGGCTCTTTGCGGCGCACATGGAACGCGACGCGCCGTACGCTCGGGTCTGGTTCTGGCCGGACGGCGATCCACCCTCGCCGTCCGCAGGCCTGCAACGCTGGGGCCCTTGGGCAAACAATAATTTGGGGCTCTTTTGGAATGTTTTTTTTTGTTATTTTAAACGTAGCCCCACATTATGTACAGGATTTTCTACTGTATCGTGGGTGCATTTACAAACATACAAGTTCACATTCACATCACACCTAGACCCGACTCAACAATTTGGAAGCACATAAAGGTTTGCTCACAAATTGTGAACCCTATGAGTAGCAAGAGCAAAACCTTAACCTTTTCTACTGCGATTTTCAACACGATTGCCAAGATTGAGAATTATGGTAAACAGAAAGTAAAAGTCGCGGGTTACTCACGTGAATATACTGAGAAAAGCTCTACTAGTTTCGAGCCACAGAGGGGCTCTTCCTCATGAGCAGCGTGCGCGGTCGCCTTGCCACCTCCGCGAGAGTAACCCGTGATTTAGTTAATTTAGTATGTTTCAAGATAGTTATTATAAAAATATGGGAAACCTGTTTATTTAGAGAAGTTACATACCTACTCTAGCAGTCTATGTCATAGGTCACACACACTAATTTTGAAATATACAAATATCATATTTTTATATAATTTACTTAATTTAGTCTGTGGCCTTACCACACATTAAATTTAATGTTTATAATAAAAAATCCTCATCGTTATATCTTAATCTCATGCTTTATTAGTCTGAGGTTATCCCAATACCTAAAAATAAAAATGGAATTCACGAGAAAGATAATCTTTTCTGTGATTCATAATATTGGTATCAATGTCAGAGCCATGGATTTTCCAAAACAGGTAAAATTAAAAAAGTAGGGAGATATTTTTTTTTATGTAACGGGTCGAACGTTTCGCCACTATCTCAAAGTAATAATGCGGCTTACGAGTGAGCACGTACTTATTATAATTACTTCATCGTACTATTATTGTACCTTATTACTTATTTATTATTATTATTATGATGCATGGTTGGCGCAGTGGCTGGGCTACCAGCAGCTTCGATTTCCTTATTTGGCGTATTTTGAGTGTGTTTTAAAACTATGTACTTCCAGTACTTCAGAACAATAAATAAAATGTACTTAAATAAATACGGTAATATTTATTTGTATTATTACAAACTTTTATAAATTAACTGATAGATCAATGTCAGCCACTTTCAAACCTAAAATAGTAGATAAAAGTCTTTGTCAGAATAAAACCAATTTCCTTATAATTTAGATTTAAAAAAAGATAATAAAAAGTAAAACTAAAAACTCTTTGTCTATGCCTCAATGTTTCATTTCGTACATTCTAAATTCAAAGCGTTCTAATTTCAAAGGTTTGCCTTGTGGTTCTCGTTGAAGGAAGTAGCGGTGGCGGACGCGGAGGCGGACGCTTTGGTAAAGGAGCGATGGCGTTGATTGTTTTTCGGGCGTCCATCTTTATTGTAAGATAGTTCGTGACTGCCACTCCCATAGCTGAAAAAAAGGGATATTTTATTTATAACGCAATTAATGTACTTTTTTCTGAATGTGGGCAAATTTTTATGATTATTTTTGTTAATGTAAACATATATTTTCAAGATAAATTTCTTTGTAATAAATCTTCAATATTATTGAGCTTGAAAAAAAAACTGAGACAATACAAAAGTAAGCATTTTGACCTGTATTCGCTTATTACTTGGACCACACACTGAAAGATCCTTGCAGTTGAAAGAAATCGATGTAGGTAGTAATTGTTAGTTAAGTAGATGTGTCAAATGAAACGTATTGTTACTGTTGATTTTTTAATATTAACTAATTAATTTTGTAAGCGACTAGACTGGGCACTTCGTTACGAGATACTTTTTCCTTCTTAATATAATTGCTTATTTCAAATGTTCACTCCAACGGTATGGTATTAGATTCATCTCCTCCAAAAGGAATGATATGACATATTATTACCTACTTATGTATTTGGACTGCCTCGTTGGCCGAATGGTCGCAACTGCGACTGACCGGCGACTGTCGTCGTCTTAGGTTCGATTCCAGGACCGGGCAAAGTATTACTCGGTTGTTAAAAATTTTCAGTAGCAATACCGAGTCTGGAAATGTGCCCGATATATGGCAATAGGCTCACCTCTTTTGCATGGGACTCATAACATAAATAGTAATAAAAAGTGTGTGTTACCTCTGTGTGCACTGCCTACCCCTTCGAGAATAAAAGGCGTGATATTATGTATGTATGGTTATTACTTGGGAGTGTTCCACTAACCTGCCACCTCCCAGCTCCTCACTGCATCCAAGCCGCTCTCTGCTGAAGTTGTCGTTCTGGTCATCATTCCTCCCATAACTACCGCCGTTGTTGTTGCCGTAATTGCTAGGATTGTAGCCTCTCTTCACTCGTTTCGTGTCGAATCTCCAGTCTAAAATGTACCATGTAATTTTTTTTTATTTAGAATGTGTGTGGGTACATTTACAAACATGCAAGTTCACATACACATGACACCCAGACCCGGAGCAACAATTTGTGGATCACACAAAGCTACTCCGTGCGGGAATCGAATCCGCGACACGTTGCGTGGCAGCCGGTTGTCCAGCCACCGCACTAACCGTGTTGTCATTTAAATTTCTTGTAGATTTTTGATGTGAATGTGTTGAAGTTCATTGGACTAAAGGGTTCTTAAGTGATTCTTTGAGTTGATCCTTAAGTAAAGCTGAATAGGATAGTTTCCTAAATTTTATTTTAATGTCCGTCTGGAACATTAATTTAAAATTTTAGGCACGTATTTTTTCTTTTTTTACAAAATTAAATACATTCGACGATATATTAATTTGAAATATCGTGTGACGTCACAGCGTGTCACATTTTGTAGCACGTTATGACGTAACGACCTCCCACTCCTAAACTTAGCGCCATTTTATCTAAGTATTGCAACTTAATGCAGGAAAAATAAAAAAATACGTGTATAATATTTTTGCCTTATCTAACTGACGGACTAATTAGATTTTTAATTTTGATACCCTGGAAACTACCCAATTAAAACTTGTGCTTATTTCGACATCTGGCAAAACAGTTTCAGTTCTAATAAATAATTCTAATTTAGGTGTTTTTGGTGTACTCACCTCTGCCTTCAACAATAACAGCTAGAAGCACCATGAAAGCGAACACAGTAGCTACCTTTGCCATTTTCGAACGCGTATGATGCATCAGTTACCCACGCATGGTATATATGTCGCAGGCCACAGGATGGCTGATGCCATCGGATGTCACGGTCTGTCCAAACGTCATGATTTCGGTGACACGCCGTGATGACCGCACAAAGCCACTGCGACGGTTTAATTCAGTTTTGACGGATTGTCCATCGCCCTTGACTTTGGGGACAGGAGCCCATTATGCACAGTTTGAATGACCTCACAAATGTCAGAGGAAGAAGATTTTGGGTTTTCTGCCTAATTCTGATGCAAAAATTGGTATAATTTGGCTGTCAACTCTATGTCCACTTGCTTGAAGTTGTTGTGAGCCTGGGAAACTAATTCATTATTTTATTCTATCTTAAAAACTTATAGGTGCCATGCCGCCAGAACAGGTACTAGAAGCATTGACTCTGTAACGCGGTATGTTAAGAAAATGCTATCTACATAAGGATTCCCTATTTATAATTATGTAGATTTTGATTGATTTGCTGACATTTTTGATTATTAATAACTGCACTAAGTTCGTATTTTTTTGTGCAATCCCCAGGTAAACGTGCTGACGGATCACCTGGCGCCGCCCATGGAGATCCAAAACACCAGAGGTGTTACAAGTTCGTTACCGGCCTTTTGGGGATTAGGAATTTAAGGATTGTTGGGAATTCAAGGAATTGGGGAGATTGGTAATTGGACCTCCGGTAACCTCACTGACACTTTTTATTGTTTAGCGAAGTAAAGTGATATCTAAGTCTAGTATGTCCTTTGTATTTTCCAAGTACCAGTTACTAGGCCCACATAAGCTTGATGTAGTGAAATAACAGGCTATAACTTTGATCCATCGTAATCAAATGGATTGATGGAGTGTTCCGACTGACTAGTCACATAAATAATATTACTTAACACATTCGCAGCCGGTTTGAACTCAATGTTATTAACGCTAACCTTGACTGTTCGGTCGTTCGCTTGATTTTTTCCCCGCCATTTTTTTTTTGTAAACAATCATCACTTGATATCATAAAAAGAGTTTCGTTTGTACCTTTCGGAATCAATTGAGCGTGAATGTAGGTACATGGTTATGTACCCGGCTTTGACCGAATTGTTTATCAATAACTTTCAAAATGAAGGATTCATTAGGAAGATATCAGTAATCTCAACTCGCAGTCCACTCAAAATGGTGAGCACTTTTGTGCTCTTCTTCCTTGTGGATTTTGATCTCTAAGCTGCCTGCCAAGCTAGGAGATTATGATAATCTGGAGTCCAGCTTTGAACCTTCACAGGCTGTTAATGATTAGGCAAGTTTTTGTAATTTCGTTGTCTTATATTCTAGGTATCTTTAGATTTTATGAAAAATATATATGCCTGGAATAGTCCAAGTATAGGTACTTAGTACTTCGGTAATAGTACCGAAAGCTACTAGAATTAAAGCTACTAGAACTCCATTACTGCGAAGGATGAAACTCTTAACCCGATCTCTGGATTCAAAGCCAGACTGTGATGTGTATTCGAGTGAAAGAAGACTATTTTTAATACTTGAAGTTTAGCGAATGAATGATAGTAACAGTAATAATGAAGTATTAAAATTCTATATTTTATTTTTTTATTTTAACTACATATGTATTGAGTAGGTATTTGGTATTTGTACATTTCTATTCAAATAAATAAATAAATATCCGTTCAGGTTTAGTTCGTTTCAATTTTAAAAGGTCCAGACAAACCAACATAGAGCTAATGTTTATTGTACATATCTTTGAAGTAATAGTCCAGTCGTTGCTCTTTGATAGACCAAGAGAGAACCTATTAAGTTAAACCCGTCAAACAACTATGCTTTCTTCGGGATTTTTTCTCTCAGTCACGCGAAGAAAATATACTAGATTAGTTTGACATTGTTGCTATCTGATATATACTTGTGCTGGTTTAGATCGGAATCATTTTTATTTATTTTTTTAAGACTAAGTACATTTGATTCCCAACTTGATTCCCAATTGCACAACTTGATTCCCCCTAGTCCTTTTCATCATCATACCACAAGACAATCGGCGAAGCGTCACCGATTCATGGTAGATGTTCCGCCCACACGCACGAAGCGCTTCGCTTCAAGCTTCCTTGTGCGTACTGCTAAAGAGTGGAATTCTTTTCCAGAGTCTGTATTTCCTGAAGGGGAGTTTTTAAGGCCCGAGTGAATAGGTTGCTTATGGGACGACGTGCTCCATCGTAGACAGCATTATCACTTACCACCAGGCGAGATAGTGGTCAAACGTCGCCCCATCAAATATAAAAAAAATAACAAATGTACAGGTGGACTTAATGCCTTGGGCAATGTCTCACAGTCAACCTTATCATCATCTGTAGATTATTTATTTAGAGTGTCACCAACATTATTTTTGTTTGTTTGACCACGTCAACCTCTGTAACTATTGGTTCGATTTGAAAAATTCTTTTTGTGAAAAACATAAATGTATCACATTTTCACACACATATAGGTCAGGACTACAAACTTGTTTGTCAAATTCACTCAGCATCAACTCAAAGGAAACCATTAAGATATTTATTTTCTTAACAATATAATTTTATCAGTATTGTCAACGCTAGATTTCTTCCAACGGTTTCACTTGTATTTATAGAGGACAGATGCGTATGTTGACAGAAGTTCCCGATCCTGTAGGCATATCAAGATAAAAATTTACTTTCCAATATTACACCTTGGAAGATAAACTCTATAATGCAGAAAGATTTTATCAAATCGGTCGAGTATTTTCAGAGCCTATTGCAAACAAACGGACAAATTGAAATCTTTCCTTTTTATAGACACTCTTAATATACCTCTACATATAAACATAATTGAATAGGTATCTATTGTTTTACCTTTTGTTTTATTTGCTAATATGATCACGTCTCATACATCTACGTAGTGTTTAGCAGCAATTAGTCATTAGGTACAAGTCAGAAATGATTTGCTAATAACATTGTTTCTCCTTGGAAATATAAAGGACATGGGTTAAGAATATATTTTAAATATTATACAATGATTCATAAATTATATTCAATTGACTTTGTGTTTTTCTTAACTATAAAATGTTTAAGCACACATTGTTTGTATAATTATTATGAAAGAAAATTACTATTAATGTTGGACAGTGTGGGTTCATTAATGATAGTTGGAAACTCAAGTGTGGGAGAGCCGTGCTTCGGCACAAATGGGCCGGCTCGATCGGAGTGATACCACGGCCTCACAGAAAACCGACGTGAAACTGCATTTGCGTTGTGTTTCGCCGTGTAGGTGAGGCTACCGGAGGCCTAATTACCCTCTCCTCAATTCCCGAATCCCCAATAATCGTCAAATTCCTAATCCCGAAAAGGCCGGTAAAACACTTGTAACGTCTCGGGTGTCCATGGGCGGCGGCGATTGCTTACCACTTATTGATATTTAATATTTTTTAAACGATATATTTATGACTTTTTGGAATTTTCACATATCTCGGAACAATAGTCTGTGAATCATATAAATAATTGTTGTGTTTGCGCAGTCATTGTTTACGAAAACTATGCAGACAAACGGTAATACGATTGTTTTTAATCTTTAATTAGTTTGAGGTATAGGGTATTATAGTTCTGGAATGGTATTAAAAACTTAGAGAGTATAATCCTCCAGGTCTGCATGCAACACTTCGTGCGTTGGACTAGGGCTTTAGCTTGTAGCAGAAGTTGGAACGGGGTGGGTTTAGTCAGTACCTAAGCGTCTGACACTTCCTCTCGCCTCATGCAAAGCAAAGCATGCAAAGCAAAATCGCGTTCCGCGCGCGCCTCAAAGAGCCATCAGACCACCACAGATGGGGCCCACTACGGCTGATGCTGATTCGGAGTCGCGGAGAACCTAACGGGTAACCGGGGCTCCGGTTCGACGTGCAGGAGAAGGAACGGGGTGGTTTTTAGTCAGTACGAGTCTGACACTCCCTCCCGCCTCACCCAGGCGGGAGCAGACATTCGATGATTTTCCCCCCTTAAAAAAAAACAAAGCGTCTGACACTTCCTCTTGCCTCATGCGGAATCATTACCTGGATTTCTTCCTTAAAAAAGTGACTATAGTCCTAAGAAAATTCCATGTTTATGAGACTTATCTTTATTCATATGTTATAAGTAACAATTTTTATGCGTCCAAGTAATAACATGTGTCGATTAGTTTGTATTTATTCAATATTTATTACTTCATCTCGGTCGATTACTGGAACGTGAGCAAGTTAACTATGCGCATACAATATGTTCATAATAATTTATTACCATGTAACAACACTTCTTGACGTTTCCAGGATTCGTCCAGTTGAATAATTGTGATTTATATAATGTTATCGTTTTAATATAACATAATTTCAATAGGGTAGATGTCTAATTTTTATTTTAATGTCCGTCTGGTAGATTATTTTAAATCATCAGACACGTATTTCTTATTTTCTTACAGAAACGAATACTTTCGACGATATATTGATTTGAAATGTCGCGTGACGTCACTTCTATGTAAATTTTGTACGTAGAAATGACGTTTACGCCTCCACTCCTACATTATGATTCCTTTTATCTAAGTATTGTTTTATTATACGACAAAATAAAAAAATACGTGTCTAATATTTTTCATTACCTAACCTACGGACTAATATATTATATTTTTAATGTTCCTACCCTGTCATCATCACAGTTATCAACCGTCTATAATGAGTCAGATTTCAGATGTCAGTTTGTTACGGTGCGGGTGAGGCGGACGACCTTGCCAGTTGCCGTGACTTCGGCTTGAAATAGAAGTTGGAACGGGATGGTCTTTTATCAGTAAGAGATGGTACTCCATCGTGTCTCACCTAAGGCGGGAGAAGTCTATTTATTAAAAAAAAATTATAAAAAGAGTAACTCTTTTTATAAACCTTACCATGTCGGCCGTATATATGTATATATATAGGTATATGTATCAGTATGCGTATTAAAGGCGATTAGTGAACCCTTTACCACAGTGATTTTTAACCACAGGTAATGACATACATTATCATATATAATATGTTAATAAAAACTATGATCACGAGTTTCCGTGACTATTAATATTTAACTGGATCAAGTTACAAATATCTTCTTGTGGTTTCTTTATGATTGAATATTTTTTATACATACATACAAACATACATAAGGACGTAAATGTGTTCTAGGAAATGATTAGACGTCGCCGGTACATCTTTTAGATCAGTTTGTTTACAATTTTAGGTTTAATTATTTCCTCAAAGGAAAAAAGCAAACACAATATAATCATTAATAAAGCCATTTTTATTAGACAACTAAACAACATTTTTTAAATTAATCAAAGTACATGCTCTAAATCTAAAGCTGACTACTGGGATTAACATCACTATTTTAAATTTTATCGCCCCCATCCGTAGCCTTTACCATACTCCTTGCCATCATGTTTACCATCATCTTTGCCTCCTTTGCCTTTCCCATCATCTTTACCTTTACCACCGTCATTTCCCTTGCTACCGCCACCATTTCCTTTTCCATCTCCACCCTTGCCACCTTTGCCACCATCCTCTTTGCTCTCACTGCTGCTGCTACTGTCGGAGCTGCCACCACCACCATTTTTGCCACCACCCTTTCCGCCTTTATCATGGTCTCCGCCTTTACCGTCTTTATCGTCATTTCCACCCTTACCACCGTGGCCACCATCACTACCTTTTCCTCCTACAAAATAGTTTTGTAATGTTATTTACACACTGCTGTTTAAATGTTTTAAAATGAGTAATATTCTAAAATATAGTGCTTTAATACAATGGGCATCACATCAGAGCGAGAGAGTAGCATGTGTAACACAGCAATAAACAATATAATAATATTTGTTATGTAACACTATAAGAGAATATGTCATAATGGAATAGAATAGTCATGAATATAAATGGAAAGATCCTTACCACTGCCGCCGGGCGCTGCGTACACACATACTGCCAACACCACGAGTGCTAGAACAATTATTGTTATCTTCTTCATGTTATATTTTATGAAATTTTCTTCTCTTCTGTTAAATGTTTTTAATACTTCTTTGGTCTTATAACCACACTTCTGTCTATCGACTACAATCAGTTGTAGTCCAGTTGGTCCTTAAATACTCATTCACTTTCCGATTTTCCACATTTTTTTGTTAGTTCGTCAGTTTTTCATACTGAACTATTAAGTCTGTTACAAATTACCTCATATTGGACAATCTCTTTAGCATCTAAGTTTTTGCTTAGATTCTCGATGTAACTAATTTGAATGAATGTCTTGATTTATTTAATAGGTTTACGATTTTCAATTTTAGTACTGTCGTCCTAAAATTTCATTTGTATTGTCATTCTGTTGTTACTTTTAATTCAGACTTAGTTGATTAGTTCAAGTAATGGTCCTACAGAAGAAGCTATTCTTTGTCCACGGAACGAGTGTTTATTGGCTTCCTAGTTTCGAATATGAACGTTATGATATTTATATCCAGTTTGCATAATAATATTATTGTTCATCTAATCGTTACCTGATTCGAAGCAACACAAAAGGATTTCAAGGTTGTTCCAATCAATACTTGTCTTGTTTGAGTCATTTAATAATAATACGTGTATATATATTTGTTTATCTTCTTGTTGTTAAGTAACATATAAGGTTGAATTATCAATATTTTTTAAAAGGGGTGAAAATCATCCAACTACCTCTCCCGCCCGGGTGAGGCGAGAGGGAGTGTCATACTCTTACTGACTAAATACCACCCCTACTTTAGCTCTTTAAGTCTGATCCCCGGCAACCTCCGCGGCTTCGCATCGGTCAGCCCCAAATTTTGCCCTATCTGTGGTTGTCTGATGGCTTTTTGAGGCGCGCGGAACGCGGCGCGCCGTACCTACGCTCGGGAATTATATATTAGGATTATGATTATGACTGCCTTGTTGGCCGAGTGGTCGCAAGTGTGACTGCCGGGCAAGGGGAGACCCCTTGCCCGGCAGGGTTCGATTTCCGGGTCGGACAAAGTACTACTGGGTTTTTATAAATTCTCAGTATTAGCACGGAGTCTGGATTTGTGCCCGGTATATGGCAATAGGCTCACCCCCTATTACATGGGACTCATAACATAAATAGTGAATAGTGGGTGTTACATTGTACAGTGGCATAATGTACACCTCTGCCTACCCCTTCGGGGATGAAATGCGTGATGTTATGTTATGATTATGATTACTCCATTTGTTCTAATATCTATATCTATAGTTAGTGCATAGAGACGGAACATCGGTGTGGTTATTAGTCACGAAAAATCTAACAGTCACATTCGTTCTACCCAGGTGAGAGGCTCCATGAGGACTTTGTATCTTGATGTTTCAAGGGCGAGAATCTGTACAATAAACCAGAAGTGTGTGTAGGTTTCAGTATTGTGTATGAAAACTGAAAAACTGTAGTTCCATAGTAATGTAGGTCTTGATGTTTGTTATTTTAGTTTTTATTTAAAACCGGCAACTAGACTCACGAAACGACATTACAGATCTTTATTAAAAATAAATAGTTTTTATCTTTTTTCATAAATATAATGACGTCGGGATAAGGGGAAAAGTGAACGACTGGACCGATGTCTTTACTTTTTTTGTTGCTGTGTTTGTTATTATGTCAGAAAAGCGTAGAAATCGGGAATAATTATCACAAACAACATCACACGTCACGCCTTTTATCCCCGAAGAGGTAGGCAGAGGTGTACATTACGGCACTTCATGCCACTGTACAAAGTAACACCCACTTTTCACTATTTATGTTATGGATCCCATGTAAAAGGGGGTGAGCCTATTGCCATATACCGGGCACAGTTCCAGACTCCGTGCTACTATTAAGATTTTTTGAAAAAGCCCAGTCATACTTTGCTGACCCGGGAATCGCATCCGAGGCCGCTTTCCCGGCAGGCGCAATTGCGACCACTCGGCTAACGAGGAAATAATTATCGTTGTTATTAATATATTATCATTTGCGAAAATGTATACTGTTGTTCTGATGAAGATGTCAATGCCATCGACTCAGCTGAGACGTTAAATTGAGTCCAGTTCATCTAATAACTAATGTTTTATTTCATTTACTTTATCTGAATACAGGATATTATTATTATATACGATTGTACTAATAGAGTTTGTAATACCCAAATCACGGCGAAATTATAATTTTGTTATATAGACGGCAATGCATTCATGATAGCTCATTGCACTTAGGCTACGATGACCTGTAAATGGTCATCGTAGCCAAACTTACAGCCCATCTAATTTAGGTGAGATGTATGTTTTGTTGCTACTGATAATATTAAATACCTTTAAAATCAAAGATTTATCCAGCTCCTATTAATTTATAAGTCAGCTTCGTTAGTAATTTTTAAGGGTCTAAGTAAGGACATTTAAAAGCAGTTGTTTTATAAAAAATAAAATTTATTTGGATTGCATTTATACATATTTACGTATGGCGAAAAGTAAACTATTTGTTTTATCACATTGAGCTTTTGAATTTTTGTTGTTCTTAACGATATTCATGCATCAGTTCAGCGTCTGAAACAAACAAAACAAAATGTAGTTAGTAATGCAGTCAATGAGTGTACAATGTTTTTGCTTTAATGTGTTACAATGTACTTCTGGGAATTTAAGGAAAAAAAATCATAATGAAATATATAATCATATTGTGAATCTTTTTACTATGTTATGGAGGCATTTAGTTGTTATCAGGAACTACCATCATTGCTATAGTGTTAATTTATTTGAATATCCTTACCCGTATCCTCCTTTGTGGCCACCGCCAGCGCTAGCTTGGGCGTTTGCGTTGGCGCTAGCAATGGCACCAGAACCACCGTAGCCTCCTCCGCTGTGACCACCGTGTCCGTGTCCACCGTGTCCACCGCCACCGTGACCGCCGTGACCACCGCCGCTACCACCGCCTATTCCGCCGCCGAAACCACCGCCATTACCGCCGCCGTGTCCTCCACCGATTCCACCACTGCCTCCGTGTCCACCATGGCCTCCGTGTCCACTACCACCTCCGAGGCCGCCGCCGCCTCCCTGGCCACCGCCAAAGCCGCCGCCGCCTCCTTGGCCACCGCCGAAGCCGCCTCCATGCCCACCACTTCCTCCGTGGCCACTGCCGCCGCCGAGACCACCGCTTCCTCCGTGGCCACCGCCGCCGCCAAGACCACCGCCGAAGCCACCGCCGCCACCGCCGCCGCCACCGCCGCCGTAGCCGCCACCTATGCTGCCACCACCTTGGCTACCGCCACCATATCCACCTGGAACATAGAACGACACAAGTTAAAGCAAAAACATTTTATAAAAAGTATAAAATAATAAATATTACTTGATTGACGATTAGGCTTTATATTTTGTAGTCCTTTTAGACGAAGCAGCTTCCAATTGACGTCACAAAATTACAAGGAATACAAAATTCCTGTTTAGGCTATTAGTTTGTTCTTAATAACTTTTAAGAATCAAAACAAAACTATAATAACAATAAAGTATGAGTATATAAGTACCTGGTGCGGCGTAAGTAATAGCGAATAGCCCGAAGGCTAGAGTGAGGACTGCTAGACGGGCCATGTTGCTCTGTGCCTCCTGATCCCTCGACCTACCTTATATACAGCCTCGCTTATGTCATGAACATGAACGAGCACTGTTTATTAGACTCTTCATTTTTTGCTCGAGCACTTTTTTGTAATAATTTTTAAGGTTCCGCTGAATTAAAATATCCTGATTTTATGCATCGATATATAGTTACGATTAGATGAAGGCTAATAAAAATGATTGCTGGCTGTTCGTAAATTTTGATAGGTTTTAATGACGTGGTGCTTGGAGCTTTTTTAATTTTAGGGTGATGTCATGGTGTTCTAATATCTATACTTTGATTTTGATGGAGAATTTAAATATCCTGGTCGTTATAAAAATGATCTTTACAAAACTGCTAAAAAATTTGTTACTATACCTTTTGGAGTGTTATTTCGATGGTGTATCGATGAGTGATTTTCTCCAGTATTGTCATCTTGAGTGCTACTGTTATTGTCATCTTGCGTACTCTTATTTTTGGGTTTTGATATCGACATTTTTAAATTAGGCCTAATTGAAACAATGCAATGTTTAAAAAATAAGGTAACATTTTTATTCAACTGTCAAAGTTGTTTTTTATTTTCAAAAAAAGTTTCGTTGAATGAGGTTCGATATCGAGTCCTTGTGGAGTTAACATGCAGAAATTATTTATAGTAACAATAAAATTTTTCTTATCGTTTCTGTCTTAAGATATCCGAAAACTTTAATAAGAAACACGATTTAAAATAATATTGCGGAACCCTTATCGCAGTATTAATAATACATTTATATTAAATTCATTCGTTAACACGTCGAGAGAGTTTTTGTGTAGCGCTCAGCCGATCAATACATACATAGACAATATATGTATACGTATATATGTATTATGTACTAGTATAATAGTAAATATTGCGCCCGCGTCAGTACTGGCCAGTTTAGGTCGTTTACACTGTAATGGCTATTGCTAATGGTAAGCTATAAAATAGGTTTTTTACTACAGGATTCTATCAGTATTATTTATTGATGAAGTTGAAATGTTAAAAGATTGCTTCGTTGGCTTAATGAAGTGCGACTGCCGGGCAAGGGGTTTCGGGTTCGATTCCTGGGTCGGGCAAAGTATTACTGGTTTTTTTTAAAGTTCTCGGTAGTAGCACGGAGTCTGGAATTGTGCCCGGTATATAGCAATAGGCTCACCCCTTATTACATGGGATTCATAACATAAATAGCAAAAAGTGGATGTTACATTGTAGTTTGGCATAATGTGCACCTCTGCCTACTCCTTCGGGGATAAAAGACGTGATGTTATGTACGTATGTATTGTAATGTTATCATCAACAGCATCTGAGAGTCCACTGCAGGACAATAACTTGTCAGTAATCCAGCCTAACCTTAATAAGTTTAGCGCATCAGAAGTTATCGCATGTGCAGTACAACAAACCTAATATAATATCTCCTTGGAGATACCTGGAAATATTTTTTATTAGTAAGCGAGTGAACTGATAAGGAAACAGTTTGTTATTGTTATTCTACGAATCGGTTTATCGACCGCGAGATCTGTTTTGATAGGTTCTTTCCCAGTGCCGCCGCCGTGGGGATTACAACACTAGCCTAGCGAGCGCTAGTAGCCTAGTAACGCTGATGTTGGGAGCTTGTGTTAACATGGTAAGTTCTTGGTGCTCGATTCTGATATGCTAGGTTATTTTCAATACATCAACATTTGTATTCATTACTAACACCATAAATAAAAACGTAGGTTCTAAAACTTTTTAAATAAGTATTGATTAAAAGCTCTATTAAATGTTAACAACTCTAGAAGATGCATCTTTTATTTTTATATAATTTTAACTTAAAATAAACGTATGATTGTTTGTGAAACTTCATAGACCACATTTTACAATAAAGTATGCTCCTGCGAGGTTGTCGATGTATTATTAAAATAACACTGCATAAAATTGACATCAAAACGGAGACAAAGAGGATAGGAAATATACTCATTTAAACTGTCAAACACCAAGCGGTCACCGGTGACCGCAACCTATTGTTCTATAATTGTGTCTACAAAACCGGTACTCGACGAGTTAATGAAGAGAACAATCATTATTCCAACATCTTCCTTAGTTTCAGTGGATACCAATCTAGTTGAGATAACTCCAAATTTGTTTTTTTTTTATTGTGGAGATGTGCTGCTAGTTCACTTTGTATTACTGTTTATGTTATGTAAAGTCCTCCAGTATAAGGCGGTTAAAAGAATTGTAAATTGTCATACAAATGAGAAACATTATTAGAGATATATAAACCCATGTAAATTAATTCCATTTATAAGCAATTATTGAGTATCCTATGTTAGTCACTAGGACTCCTGGACTAGTGCTCTCGTTTTATGTGCAATTTATTTATTTATTTATTAAGGGACGAAAAACAATTACAAATTAAAATTTCACACTAAACTTCAGCTACAGTAAATCAGTAAATATGTAACCCACACCATTGCTCACAATTTGGTGTAAAGTGTTGCAGCAATAGAGACAATGTTACGATACTGTTATCTTTTTATTTTTTATTCTAACAAACTATTTAGGGACTTTTATCACAGATATGTCAGCCTCATCGTACCCTTTACATTACTTTACGTACTTAACATTACTTGACTATTATATTTTCCTTAGGATACTGTTATCTTAATTAAACTAAATGAAAGTTTACTAAATAATACACAAAAAGACTCAACAAATCTCATGATTAACGAAAAAGATTAATTAATTAATAACTAACCAATGTTGTTACAACCCAGCAGTCAGAAGCACCATAGCCTGCATGCATGCAATGGTAAACAACGTAGGTCATAGAAAGTTGTCGGTATGTCTAGTAAGTGCCTGTAGATATTTGGTGGTGGTATAATGCGACCCAGATCCATTCCGACTACGCGGTATCAAATCCTTTGTCACGTTCATATTTCAATTCTTATCCTAGTCATTACAACGTCCGCGTAAAATATCATTCCTGTTTTATCCCATGGGAGCATGTAATCGGAATAAAAACTATCCTATCACCTAAGTTCACCCATACCCTGCCTATATACCAGATTTCATCAAAATCTGTACAATAGTTTCAGCGTGATTGACGGACAAACTTTTTTTTCTTATGGCATAAGCCGGTAAACGAGCAGATGGATCACCTGATGGTAAGCAATTGGCGTAGCCCACCTGGACACCTGGAACACCAGAGGCGTTACAAGTGCGTTACCGGCCTTTTGGGGATTAGGAGTTTGAGGATCGTTGGGGATTCAGGGATTGGGGAGATTGGGGAAGGGGAGGGTAATTGGGCCTCGGGTAACCTCACTCACACGACGAAACACAACGCAAGCGTTGCTTCACGTCGGTTTTCTGTGAGGCCGTGGTATCATTCCGGTCGAGCCGGCCCATTCGTGCTGAAGCATGGCTCGCCGCACGCCGATTGCTTACCATCAGATGATCCGTCTGATCCTTTTCTTTATGTTGTTTCTTTTATCATCCGAACATTGTTCATTAATGTTGTCTGGTGGAAAAACGACGAGGATCTCATATATTGACTTATGTGTTATGCAATATTTTGTACCTGAACTCCTAATATAAAATGTTATTGTTTATATTAATTTTGAAGCACTATTTTTTGTTAGTTACAGAAGCTGGTGTTGAAGTAATGTGTATATAATTATATTATTATACAAATAGAGGTCACAATTGCATGAGGTCATATTGCATTGAAGTCGTAACTGTAATTATTATCTATATGCATCTTTGCTTGTAATTAAGTAAATTAATAGGGATATAGTATTATTAATAAGATATAATTTATTTAAAATTGTTGACTGATGCGTTTATTCTGAATAAGTAGGTACACAAACTTGCACAAATAGGATGTTGAAGAATAGGCTGTTGTAATAAGGTAAATATTATAATCTTAAGTTAAATAATATAAGTAGCGCCATCTAGTGTTAAGTTGGCAAGTTTCTCATAGACGTCGATATATCATCTGTATTCTTTCCTTTTGTCGTCTGCATGGCGCCCATCATGTGCTTTCTGTGTGATTTATAATAAAACTACGAAATTTAACAAGCTATTATCTATTATTCAACCACATCCACCACTTCAACATAGGCGATATTGAAACAACGACTACGACTGTGGCAAATAGCTACTATAGACTTACACGCAGAATACACACACATTGACACGAAGGACATCTGTCGCGTCACATGGCCCGTCATTACACTTCATACATTACGGAGTTGCAAATACACACACACACACATACATACACCACTGACATTTTGGTGCTTCAATCAAAATGTCAGTAGTGTCCATATAATGTAGAATATTTACATGGGTAAACCGTTGTATGTCTCACGATAGTTATTATTAACTATTGTGAGACATACTGAAATAACTGATCGTAATTAAAAACCTATACCTATTGTATTTATATACATTATTTTATTTACATTATATTTATACACATTATAAGTTTTTAATTACGTAAAAAAAGACAAAAATACAAATTACGATCGTTTCTATCAACCTTTGGAAATAAATGACGTCAAAGTCAACATTTTAATTAGACCAGAAAGGCACTTTTGAATGTCAACAAAAAATTAAAAGTGAAGCTATTTGCTCATTCCAAAGTGTAGATAGATTCCTATGGAGAAGAAGGAGTAAAAAACTCCATAGGTTACTCTTTTTCAATCAGGTTCACAATACATTTGTCTAGTTACATAGTTTTGTTGTTTGAATTGTGCGAGAATAATGTAACACTAAAATCCAGTCAAAGTGATCGAGAAAAAGGACAATAAATATGTATTATTTATTGTCTCTCTGTCTCTCTCTCTCGTCTGGAGCTGACGAGTCCCAGTTGACGGCGCCCGTTCACGAACATGACACGTACATCAGCACCGCCCAACTCAACCGTATTGCAGGGAATCGAGCGATCCACTGCACGTGCGAGATCAATGAGACCTTTGAGTGAGCATGACAACTCCAAGCTGATACAAATGCATTCTACTAGTCTAATTTACCTAATATTCAGTTAATTACAGGGCTCTCACATTTACAATGATTATGAAAGTTAACTAATATACAATTGAGCAATATGGCTGTATTATTTACTTATTTACGTGTTTGCATTTCATTGAAACATCAATGTTTTCGCTATCCTGCGGAGCCGGACTAGTCTACATCCAAGCATTTTATCATTAAGTTATAATCAATAAGTTTGTAATATGTCTACATAAAGATTTTTTATACATACATAATTTAAATTTTGTTTCATTTGGGTGTTGTATATCCCCTGGTATCTTGTTATAACATTTAACACAGAATCCTATGAACGACTTACTTACTTTCGCCAATCTCAAAATTTGCTGACTAGATGTATTCTTATGTCTAGTTTGATAGTGGTGTCTGTCCGACACTTTACCAAATAACTGTAGGTTTTTCCTAAATACATGATGTTAATATAGGTAAGTAGTATTAGTCTGCCTGCCTCGTTGGCCGAGTGGTCTCAAGTGCGACTGGGCATGGGGTCTCGGGTTCGATTCCCGGGTCGGGCAACATTTACTGGGTTTTTAAAAATCTCATTAGTAACACGGAGTCTGGAAATGTGCCCGATATAATATGGCATTAGGCTCACCCCCTATTACATGGGACTCATAACATAAATAGTGAAAAGTGGGTGGTACATTGTATAGCGGCATTAAGCGCCGAAATGTGCACCTCAGCCTACCCCTTCGGGGATAAAAAGGCGTGATGTTAGGTTACGTTAGTATTAGTCTGCTTTGTTGATCGAGTGGTCGTGAGTGTGACTACCGAGCAAGTAGTCTCGGGTTTGATACTCGGGGCGAAAAAGTATTATTGGATTCTTTCTTTACCCTCCAATCTGTCTTGTCCCTTCTTCCCACCCTAAGTGACCTAATATGATATTATATCTCTTTTAATTATGAAATTTATAATGCATAGGTACATACAAGTAACTATAATGTAACTATATTGGTGCATGATAATAAATAAATTTTAGTGCCAGACAGCCTCGTTGGCTAAGTGGTCGCAAGTGCGACTGCCGGGCAAGGGGTCTCGGGTTCGATTCCCGGGTCGGACAAAGTAAATTTCTTTTTTAAATTCTCAGTAGTAGAACAGAGTCTGGAATTGTGCCCGTTATATAACTCATAACATAAATAGTGAAAAGTGGGTGTTACATTGTACAGTGGCATAATGTGCACTTCTGCCTACCTCTTTTTGGGGATAATACGTGTTATGTAATAAATAAATAATAAAACGCTCTGATAATAAGGACAACACATGGTAATTGCTACCTTTATGTAATGTGTTAGCAATTCCTGACAACAGCCGATAGCAAATTGTACAACATAGTATTGTTGCTATTAACTTTGTACTGGACTTCTTGTTCTACTAATATTAACTCCGATATTTTGTATCTTTGTTTGTCGTTCCTTTACATCAAAACGGCTGATCGGATCGAGATGAAAATTGGAACAGGGGTCGATTATGTAGGTACTCATAGCAAAAAAAAAGAAAAAAGCTAGAAGGAACCAGTTTGATATATTTGATTAGTGATTATTATACTAACGTTAATAGTAATTTTATTACTTCTTCGTTTATTTTTGTTCATTTGCCTTCAAATATTCAGTTCAGATTCAGATTTTTTTTATGGAATTGGAGGCAATCGAGCAAACGGATCACCTGATGATAGGCGATCAGCGCCGCCCATGGACATCCGCAATATCAGAGAAGTTAGGTATGAAAAACTTCCAATTTAATCTATTAGGTATTAAACTGATATTACCATCGATTTACATTATTAATCAGGTTTGATATCTTCTCAGATAATTTTGTTTATTTATCCTTTTATAATAATTACTACTATACAATTGTATAAGTACGATAGGTACCATAGTTCATTAAAAGTTGCCAAGCTTACTGCAGCAAAAAATATTTACCAACCATTCGAATACATGGAGGAGGCGGGACGCTCCTTAGCTAGCATTACTGCTTCGCAAAAGGAGGAGACGGCATCCCAGTCCCCTTTGCTCCGCATCATGACTTGCACTATGGCGGGAGAAGGCAATGGACGATTTCCCCCAACCAAAAGTACCAGTAACAAAATTCCTAAAAGAAATAAGACCCGGTACGGTACACCTCTTGCCGGCCTTTTTGCTAAGAAAATGAAGAATAGACAGACACACATAGTTAGCTTTAAAATAACTTTGTACTAAAATAATTTGTAATTTCTTCTCAATTAGATACTAGAAATGTATCTTGCAATGGTGAACAACACCCAAAAACCCCATTAATAATTGTGTTCTGAATCGGAAAACCCAGACTGGAGCGACGTAAGCGTTAGTGTATGTGGTAGTATATTTAGTTTATAAAAGCAGGTTCGTGCGAGTTTCACGTGTAGTGTGGTGTAGTGTGTGTATCGTGTCATGGAGCGTTTCGGAGCTCTCTGCTTTGTGCTAACCTTCGTCTCGGTCTGCCAAACGGTCCCACGTAAGTTCAAATGTGTATACCCACTTGCATATACCTACCTATGTTTGTGATCATTGCCAAAAACAGGATGTTTTTGTTATGCCAAAACGAGTTTAGTTAATGCGTCTTATATTCAAATTTCAAACTTTTAATAGTGGAATTGAAAACATGGTTGTCACGACTTTAAGTAATCTTAAGTATACATAGTTTAGTATATCCACTATTCTATTTTATCAGCTCTTCCTTATAAATAAACAACAGATACGGTAATAGATAGGGTTTGAGCGGCGAAAAGGGACAGAAGTGGGGTGAATCGATACTATGAAGAATTTCCTAATATCTATTCACCTCTCATCTGTCCCTATTTATTTATTTGTTTTATTGCACAATGTAAGTACTTACATACATAGCGGTATTATACTACTAGTACTACTACTACTACTACTACTACTACTACTACTACTACTACTACTACTACTACTACTACTACTACTACTACTACTACTACTACTAGTATTCACCTCTCGATCCCTATTCACCCCATTTTACGGTAGTCAAAATCCACTACTGGTCTATGAACCTCCTCAAAAAAGAAATATAAAGTAGAATGTGAAGAAGTATTTAGAAGGTTGAACGATTTGTTTTTTAATAATATCGTTTCTAATTTCAGAAGATCAGATCGTGACGGCAGTTGATGGCAGACTCGGTATTGGACAAATAACCGGCGGCAAGTTTGGGCCTGGAAGCTTTAGTATTGGTGCGCCTGGGCAAAAGATTCCATCGAAATTTGAAACTGAAGATGGCGAACCGGTGGCTATATTAAAACCCAAACCGCATCGTAACCGAAACCAAAAACCAACTAAACAACAAGATCGTCCAAATATTCAAAACATGGAAGGTAAACATAATGTTCTGTCAGATAACTAATTAGGGACTTGTTTCATTTTGTTTTTCAATTTCTTTATAGTCATCTACACTCATACTAATAGAGATTATTTAAATAAAGATTACATTTGATATTTAGAAAAAATATACTTACAAAACTTGTTTAAGAGTTGTATCACAATGTTATTCAACAATAATTACTGCTGTGAGTTTTAATATTTATTTTATTTATCTCGTTGTAGATAATGCAGATATAAATCCGGATAAACATCAAAAGGTTCATGTCGAGTCAGGACATGGAGGCAAAGGAGGTGAGGGCGGCAAAGGAGGTGGTCAAATTACGATAGGCAAAGTTGTCATTGCTAACAACAACGAAAACCAAGAAAATAAAAGAAAAAATGACAACCAGCAACCTGTAACTGTATTAGAAGCAATATCTTCTAATAATGGACCAATAAACATGTCTAAAGGTAAACCAGCAAGTATTGCAATGAAGCCAATAACTGAAGGTCACATTGAAGCAGGAGCAATGAGAGTAAATAACCAAAATGTGAGACCAGGAAATAATATTCCTAAGAAGACCTTCAATAATTTTAATAATGAAGGTGCAGGTGTAACAGGACATGGGTCACATGATAATGGTAATGATAAAGAACATGTCTACACTGGAGGTCCTAACGAGCGTTGGGTGTGGCAGTAGAGACTAGAGACGCATCATGTAGAGGTCAAGTTGACTACATTCTCTACAAACTCCATATCATTGGGAGCATTGTTAATCATAGTCGATGTAGTTTACAACGGAGTAAGATATATGAGATTCAAAATTGATTCTAGCATGTACACAGTATTATATTTATGAAATTGTTGTTTAATTATCTGTATGTTTAATTACTATTACTTTAATAAAATTGTTTATTTGACTCGTACTTTTATTTTGAAATAAAGTTTTTTGTTACATTGTTTTTGAAACTGCCTCGTTGGCCGAGTGTTCACAAGCGACTGCCAGGCAAGGGGTTTCGGGTTCAATTCCCGGCTTGGGAAAAGAATTAATGGGTTTTAAAAAATCACAGTAGTAGCACGGAGTTTGGATTTGTGTCCAGTATATGGCAATAGGCTCACCCTCTATTACATACGTCGTCGCGGAAAACTTAACGGGTTGCCGGGGCTCCGGCTCGATGTGTAGAAGTAGAAACGGGGTGGTTTTTAGTCAGTAAGAGTCTGACTCTCCCTCCCGCCTCACCCAGGCGGGAGCAGTCATTCGATGATTTCCCTCCTTAAAAAAACCCTATTGCATCGTTGGCCGAGTGGTCGCTAGTGGGACTGCCGGGCAAGGGGTCTCATGTTCGATTTCTGGGTCGAGCTAAGCATTGTGTTTTTTTTAAATCTCAATAGTAGCATGTAGTCTGGAAATGTGCCCGGTATATGGCAATAGGCTCACCCCCTATTACATGGGACTCATAACATAAATTGTGAAAGTGGGTGTTACATTGTACAGTGCCATTAAATGCCGTAACGTGCACCTCTGCCTACCTTTTCGGGGTTAAAAGGCGTGATGTTATGTATGTTTTATAGAAACATGATATATGACTTATAATATGACTTATAATACGACGCCTGATGAAATTTCCATACAATGATGTCAATATACAAAATTTACTCAATAAGTTCGGGGATAAAAGAAGTGGCGGAATAATAAATAAATAGGAATAAATTATGCACTTAGATTGGGAGTAAGACTACAGATATTTTATGATTTTCCGCAATAATATGATTTTGTAGTTGTAACAAAATTATTTTCGTGTAATATTTGACGGATGGAGAACCAACTACTTGAGCACTGTTAAGGAACTTAAAGATTCTTTTGCAAGACAAACAAGTAAATTTTTATCGGTCAGTTAACATTTTTATATTATGAAATCTAATAATCTGAGGGTAGAGAGGTTGACCATAATATTCTATAGAGATTGACAAAATATTTTTTTTATGCCATAAGCCGGTAAACGATCAGACGGATCACCTGATGGTAAGCAATCGGCGTCGCCATGGACACCTGGAGCACCAGAGGCGTTACAAGTGCGTTACCGGCCTTTTGGGGATTAGGAGTTTGAGGATCGTTGGGGATTCAGGGATTGGGGAGATTGGGGGAGGGTCATTGGGCCTCCGGTAACCTCACTCACACGATGAAACACAACGCAAGCGTTGTTTCACGTCGGTTTTCTGTGAGGCCGTGGTATCACTCCGGTCGAGCCGGCCACGAAAATAAAGATTGATCCATAGTTTGAACCACTCGACCAATGGTTACAAACGGCGCGGCTTCATTAAGAACCATATTATAATTTAGTGTAACAATAGCTAATGTCTCTGTATCGTTTATATTTTCTTACCTGATCACCAAATAATTGTGCAGATTGTACCGTCTATAAGGAAAAATGATCTTAAATGACACGTTAGTTTTTGAAAACTGTGTTATTTTTTGTTTTTATTTGACATGACCTTTTGCTACCTCGTCATACAAATCCAGTTCAGTGAACCTCAGGTAAAAATAATTATCTCATCCGCCATACTCAGATGATGCTGTCATTTCATTATTGTTTTTCCTTAAACTTTTCACAAATTCTATCAAAAACGTTTAATATAAATACGAGGTAAATTATTATTGTTTAGATTAAATGTCATATATCTTTATAATTTAAAACTTATTGTTGTGAAATTTAAGGATAATACTAATCAATAAAACTTCTTCAACAGAGACACTGTTAAAGAAGTTTTTAACGTAAAACCTAATTTCATTTATAAGTTGGACCATATTAATTGAATATTGAGTTAAAATATGTCTAAAAATTATAAGTTTTAACAATTATGAAATATCAAAATGCATTGTTATGTTTCTAACAATATTTAAGTTTTTACTTGGTGCAAAGGTCATGTTCGTGAACGGGCTCCGTCAACTGGGACTGGTCAACTCCGGACTGTATATTTTACTGTCCTATAAGGTTATTTTTTTCGATCTCTTTCACTGTATTTTAGTGTTACATTGTTCTCACACAATCCAAGCAACAAAACTATGTAACTAGAGAATTGTATTGTGAACCCGATCGAAAAAGAGAAACTTGTGGAGTTTCTTGCTCGTTCTTCTTCATAGGAATCTACACCTTGGAAAGAGCAAATAGCTTCACTTTATTTTTTTATGTTGACGTTCAAAAGTGCCTTTCTGGGCTAATTGAAATAAATGATTTTGACTTGACTTTGACTTTAATTTAAGAGGGACAAATTAACTTTCGTTTGTGGCATGTGCGACGGTTAGATTCTTACTGACTAAAAGCCAGCCTGTTACAACTCCTGCTCCGTGTCTGGACCGCGCCGCCACAGCTACCTACTTACACTGCTGTATGTCGACGTACCCGCGACCCCACCAGGGCCCTTCCGATCCTAACTTAGCTTTCAATCAATCAACGGAGTAACGAACATCTTATTATACATAACATTATGGTGCATTGATAAATAACTTATTATAACAATATGACGATCATATCATAAGCAGGTATACATGTCAGTTACTTGCACAAAAGAAAATTCGAGGATCAAAAAAGTTTGTTTAATTATACGTATTGTTGCTTGTCATGTTCTAACGTTGATGTATGGGATGGGGAGGGATGTTTTAATAGGAACACCATATAAAAGCTGTTTCTTTGACCGTGGTACATGCATATTTATAAGTGTCTGGTGGACTGCACTTAGGACTTAGAAATGGTGTCCCTAGTTATAACTTGTTCCTCTACTCTCATCGCAGTCTTGTTTTTTTGCGGCTACGGTTATTGCGATCCAGGTAAATATGTAAATATTGTTATTTGTCTTTGTTATTTAGAAACATTTTTTTTTATATTTATTTACTACAATCTATGTCCTTCGTGGGACATTCAGAAGTATGTTAGTTTCGGTTTGTGCTAACGCAGACTCGCTCAGTATGTGGCCTGTGTCACATCCTCATTATTTAAACAGTAGTTATAATTACTGTGATTGGATTAGGTCTTGAGGTATTTTGCGCTTTAACTCGTCGAGTACCGGTTTTGTAGACACAATTATAGAACAATAGGTTGCGGTCACCGGTGACCGCTTGGTGTTTGGCAGTTTAATCGTCGCGCTTTGTTGTGATTGTCCATTAGTGACCAAGCCAGAGTATTTGGGTGTTGTTGGATTCTTTCTTTATACCATTATATCCACAATTGCATTGTTGCCGTTCGTAGTGAACAGACGTGCGCATTGGCAATACGCTAAATTTGTGACCTCCTTTCATATTGTTGCTTATTACTCAGTTTTTTTCTACAAATATGAAAACATAAACGTAGTGACCAAGTGAAGACAAAATGGAGAATAGTCCCAGTAATATCCGTGCCTGTACCTCGCAAGAGAAAAGCCAGCAACCTAGCTTCTGTATAGAAGTGGTATCCACGTCAGAACTCCAGAAATGGATGTCAACCATAGAGAAGCAGTTAAACGAAGTCTGCATTATTGCCACAGAAGGCAAACTCAACTCCGAGCAGAAATTAAGAATTACTAACTTGAGCCGCAAAATAGAATCAGGTGTATCGCAAATAGCAGTCTCGTATCAGTCTTTGAAGCAGAAAGCCAAACAAGCCCTCTATATAATTGACGACCTTAGAGAAAAACGGGACCTAGCGGAAGAAATTATGGTGTTGAAAAAGGTTATCAACGACTCTGCCGCATCTAAGAACGTCTCTTTTGCCGATATGGTGAAGAAAGGGCCAAATGATTTTGTGCAACCCCAAAAGCAAAATTCTGTTGCAATTTACCCAGTGAGTAAATTAGTAAAGTGCAGTGACGAAACCAAATCTCTGGTACAACAAATCATACGGCCTGACCAAATGAAGCTACACGTACGTGGAGTCCGAAAAATCCAAAACGGAGGCATAGTAATTAGCACAGACAACAAACAGGATGCTGAGAAGGTCAAGCAGGCAGTTCATCAGTCGTCATCTGGTCTTGTCATCGGTGAGCCCAAAAAACGCCAGCCACGAATCACTGTGGTAGGCGTCCCGACTTCTTTAGTTGACACTGACGTATTGAAGTTCATATACGAGCAAAACATTGCTGAGAAGTTTCCAGAGATGACCATGGAGTCCTTTTTAACAGCAATTAAACTGAGCCACAAATCCGGAAAGAAGGATGCGCCGACCTGTAACCTTATCATAGAAGTTCCAGCCAACATTCGCAAGGTCCTTATAGCTCAGGAAAGAATATATATAAATTGGAATTCTTGCCCTGTAAGGGACTTTACATTAGTCACCAGGTGTTATAACTGTCAACAGTACGGACATGCAGCTAAATCATGTAGAGGCCCCTCATCATGTGGACACTGCGGAGAAGTAGGCCATTTAACAGCGGCGTGCACGAAAAAAGGAGAATCCCCTAAATGTGCAACATGCTCTCGGTTTAATAAGCCCAACAATCATAAGACGGGTGACGCTGAGTGTCCGGCAAAGAACATAGCTCAGCACAGGTATATCAACTCGATTGATTACGAGGGCGCGTAATGCGTCATACTTCTGAGTTGATTGGCCTACTTATTGCACAACAGTGACACTACATATTATGTTAGATTAAACATCACTTTGTTGCTATCCAGCATTTGTGCTTACTCAAACGTTGTGTTTCTCAAACTCAAATGAATGACCGTATGGACTTTAGTGTTAGCCTACTTAGTTTATTTCTGCTGATGTAGATAATTCCTCGTCGATAAACATAATGTTAAACAAATCTTACTTTAGTTGTTATTTTAATATATTTATTAGGTATATTATAGTATATTTTATATGAGGATTAGTTTTATATGTATGTATGTATGTATATTAAAATAATCATATTGTTTTCTTTTGTATAATGTTAAGTATATGGCTCTGTAGAAATAAAATGTGTTACTATAAGAATTATATTTAGAACTCCTCTCGTCTGCGATACAGGATTGTCCTAGTGCAGGCATTTAACATTGTGAGGACAATTGTACGTATTTACGATATGTTTTGTATTTTGCATTTTTTGAATATTGAATAAATTTATTATTATTATTATTATTATAGGACTTGGTGTGGTGTATGATTTCCTGCTTTACAGTGGGCATTCGTAGGTCATGGTGTAGCAGTTCATTGGGTACAAACCGCCATTCAGAAACATGTTTGCCATATTTGTGATCATTTAAACGTCTGTAAGAAAGTCACATGGCTGCACGGCTGGTACGGTGGCTGGGCAACTGGCTGCCGTGCAACGTGTCGGTTCGATTATCGCACGAATAACTGTTTGTGTGATCCATAGATTGTGGTTTCGGGTGTCATGTATATGTGATATTGTATGTTTGTAAACGCACCCACGACACTCGAGAAAAACCCAGTGTGAGGCAAAGTTTTATAAAGAAAAGAAAACACCTAACTGACACCAATCCAGCCCGGCTCCAACCCGGCAATTAACCTATCATGAATATAAAATCTTATGTCATTATGACGTATTTCGTAACGTCAATATAAAAAAAAAATCTGTAAGCGCGCCGCCCGCGCGACGACATCGCGCCGCCCACGTGCCGACAGCGCGCTTATAACCTTTTTGTATGGTTTCCTAAGCAAAATACGCCGTACCGGAGCCGTGTCCGTGTCGTTACTGTGTGCAATCTTATTGATTTACTTTTAAGCGTGAATTCCATTTCAGAGCGTGATCGTCGTTTCGTAATATTTGGAGACAACAATATTGGGATCGCATTGTCATTTGGAGGCAGTATTGGTTCGGGAGTAATATCCAGTTCAAAATTCAAAAGAAAAAGCTTCACCGCTAAACATGGTATGACGAAGAAACAAAAACACAAACATCAATATAAGTAAGGATCTTATTATTATAATACCTACATAGTTATCGAAAAATGCAAAATATAAAGGAATTGCTACTCGTTATTGTCAATAAAATTCGAAATTAAATTCGACTAATACTTACCAAATTTTGGTTGAAATATTTATAAAAGTTCAAAGAAGGTTCTTGTGCCATTGGTAGTGTAAACTTATATGTATGTACCATTAAATTGTAATATATTAGGAATTTCATTGATATTACCTATATGTATGAGAAAGGACAGAGTTATGTCTATACGACGTGCAGTTTCACAAAACTTGACAGTACTTACACTTGACAATACCTTTCGCAGAGAACCTAACGGGTTACCGGGGCCCCACCTCGACGTGCAGGAGTAGGAACGGGGTGGTTTTTAGTCAGTAAGAGTCTGACACTCCCTCCCGCCTCACCTAGGCGGGAGCAGACATTCGATGATATTCCCCCCTTAAAAATTAAAAAAAGGCTTAAGAATAAACCACCACAGATGGGGCCCAATAGGGCTGATGCCGATACGGAGCCGTGGAGGACTTAACGGGTCACCCGGGCTCTGACTCGACGTGTAGCAGTAGCAACGGGGTGGTTTTTAGTCAGTAAGAGTCTGACACTCCCTCTCGCCTCACCCAGGCGGGAGCAGTCAATGGACGAGTTTCGCCCCCTCATAAAAAAAGGTTTATGGATGCAACAATTAATTGTATGTTTTGTTTCAGTCACTATGGACCTGGAATTTGGTTACCTTGGTGGTCACCGCCACACACTTTTGTTAAATAAAGTGTCATTTGTTTATTTGGACTCTCAATAAAGGATATGTAAACATGATATAAAATATAAGCTGTGGTCCATTAATAGGGTAGATGCCTAATTTTTATTTTAATGTCCGTCTGTTAGATTACATATTTTAAATCATTAGATACGTATTTTTTATTTTCTTACAGAAACGAATACTTTCGACGATATATTGATTTGAAATGTCGCGTGACGTCACTTCTTTGAACATTTTATACGTAGAAATGACGTTTTAGCTCCCACTCCTAAACTTTGATTTTTTATTTTATTATTTTATTATACAACAAAGTAAAAAAATACGTGTCTCATATTTTTTCATTACCGAACTGACGGACTAATTAAATTTTTAATTTTCATGCCCCGTCATCATCTCAATTATGGTCCTAAAAAATTAGCTTAAAATTAATTGTGTGCTATGTCATTATGCAAGAAAGAATAATAAAAAATATTATGTAGATACTGTAATACAAAAATGGATTTAAGTTATTTAAATCAGAATAATATAAAATTAAGTTAAACAAGCTGAGACCAAAAGTATTTTTTTTCTTAATTCGTGTCCTATACTTGATTAATAGATTTTTAAATACCTATGTATATGGTTGTAAAAATATAGGGTTGCCGATTGTGAAATTATAACTCCGGTGATCTTGATGATGCAACTTCACTGTTACATCAATTTAGTAGAAACTATTCAAGATAGGTGCAACCCTAAGTGGAGGGGATGAATTAAGGGACTGCGTGGCTATCCATTTTCAGATCTCCCCTAGTTGGCTAATTTCAGAAGACCGCTAGACTATCGAACTGGAGTTAGTGGTACTTAGGTTCAAAATTGGCTCCGTAGCTACCGAACTCTGATGCTCTAGCTTGTAGAATGATGATTTGTTCGAAGACAACCCTACTTATAAAGGTGGATGGTTTGTATGTGTGCTTAATATTCATAATAGTCGTTTATAGTTGTACGTGTTTTGGATACATTATACTAGATACATTATACTAGATGGTAGATACTATGGATACATTATACTAGATAGCTATGTGTTAGTTACACATTTGAAAATATAATCTAAGCTACCAGTGCGGTCAGGGCTCCAGAGAGAGGAATTTCCGAACAATACGCGCTGTGTTCAGAAGAACTGCTTTCTGCATCAGGCCCTTGATCCAATCATCCAACAGTAGCCTACTCAGGTGTTGGTCGAGGGTTTTAGCAATGAGGGAAATGTTAGAAACGACTATCGGCACAATGATTGCTGAATCTACATCCCACATGTCGACGATGTCATTAGTTAAATCAAGGTATTATTAACTGTTACATTCTTTTGAACTTAATTTGACCATTTATGGAGTTAAATTAATCATTATCAAAAATGCCATCGTAGGGTATGGTTAAACCATCTATTAAATTGAACATGTGTGTTAGGTGCTTGAAACTGTGTTCTTCGTCGTGAACGCTTATAGTTACAGGAATTTGTCCAAAAGTGCTCAGGGGCTTATCAGTGGTTGAGTCGATACCCTTGATATGGAACTTGACTGATTTATTACCTACGGGCATATCTTCGAGGACAGATGTTTTTATAATGCTTATCGATGCACCAGTATCAACTAGGAAAATAAATTCTTTAGAAGACAGGAGTTGATTTTACTTGTATGTAAGGTAAATATTTGTTTTGGGATTATTATATCAATTATCATTTTGCGACGGCTTTGTTGATCTGTCACCACAATGTCAGGTTTCTTAGCAAATTATAAAATTAGTATTTTATATTGTAAAGCGTTGTGTTCCACGCACGCTACTCGAGGAAGGAAATCAGCTTCCAAGGGCTGCTTCGTGGTGGGATCTGCCGTAATACGTATAGCGGTAGGTCAAGGCCTGTCGGGTGCGGTGAATCCGCAAGGGCGTCTCGGGTCACGGCACGGCCATGGGCAAAGGAGGAATATCGAGGTGGTTTTAGCCGGTAAGAGTCTGACACATATTCCGACATCTCCACGACGCGACGTGGGAAGACCATGAGGATTTCGACAGCGTTATTTAAAAAAAATTGCCTGCTTTCTTGCAGTAAACCTATATTATTATAAACTATGTCTAAATATGACTATTCAAATTATGAGATTTGTCTTAAAGAAGTTGTTATATAGTTTCACTTTGGGTGCACAAAATGGGGATTCCTTTTTAGAAATGCATGTAAACTTTTTGTAAAGAACTTTTTTAGACTATTATACCACTATAGAATCTTGGTTAGATGCGCCAATTTTCTGAATAAAATACCTATACATATTTCTTCGTATACCACGGTTCAATTGACACAGTAAAGTTAAATATGTATACATCATGTACGACATTCAGGCTATTTATTGTATACTAGCTTTTACCCGTGGCTTCGCTCGCGTCACAAAAGGATAAAAAGTAGCCTATGTGACATATACCAATACACACAGCGCCATCTATACCAATAATTTCGTTTTCCCTCGATAATATACATTTTTTCCGGGATAAAAAGTACCCTATTATTTAATCCAGACTTCTAACTTTACGTCTGCAAAATTTCAAAGCAATCGGTTTAGTAGTTACGGCGTGAAAGTGGAACAAACAAACAAACAAACAAACTCACTTTCCCATTTATAATATTATAGTAAGGATAATTTTTACACATAAAATTAGGCTTTAGAGTACATAATTATGTAATTAATAGGGCAGTATAATTACGGCATTTGTTAGTAATGGACAAAAAGCCGTTAACATTCTTGTATTGAAAACTAGTTTCTGCCCGCTGTATAGCTCGCGTTCTCATAACATCACGCCTCTTAGTCCCGCAGGGGTAGGCAGAGGGGCACATTACGGCACTTAATGCCAATAGACAATGTAACACCCACTTTTCACTATATATGTTATGAGTCCCATGTAATAGGGGGTGAGCCTATTGCCATATACCGGGTACATTTGCAGACTCCTTGCTGCTACTGAGATTTTTAAAAACCCAGTAATACTTTGGCCGGTAATACTCGGCCAACGAGGCAGTCTCGAGAAAAGATAAAAACCCCTACATGTTATCCAGACCATAATCTATCCTTTGTCCTAATTTCATCACGATCTTTTACGCCGTTTTGACGTGATTGAATAACAAACATACACACTTACTTTCGCATTTATAATATTAGTAATATTATCTTCTACTTCCAAAATAGGTTATGGTGCAAGAGCGATGGAACTAGACCGTTAATTTTACCAAAAGTACCACCATTCCCAGCATTACCCGTACCGCCATTCCCAGCATTACCCGGACCGCCATTCCCGTGGTACGATCCTCCATTACCAATTTTGTAGCTGCTATCATGATGTACACTATTGACGTATATTAGCGGCACAAATCTTTTATATTTTCCTTCTAGTTTTTCTGAAATCAAACCATAAACAATTCTATTAATATTTCTATAGTTTTTATAATACATATCGTGAGACAGACTATATTAACTAAATATCGCGGGTTACTCACGTGAATATAAGTGGTTCGAAACTAGTAGAGCTTTTTCAGTATATTCACGTGAGTAAGAATAAAAGAAAAAGTAATTTAATTACCATTAGGCATGATGCACCAAAAACATAAACATAAAATAACAATAAAAAACAACAGTAAAACACAATAATAATAGAACAACAAAGGTGGCAACATGCCCATGGCTTGCCAACAGCATGAGCTGGGCACAGCAGGTACCCAAGTAAACCGCGATATTTAGTTAATTTCTAAAGTTATTATGTTAATTTAATAATACAAGGATATATCTCGTTAACCTTTAACTAGTGACGTGTAGTCTCACAGGCGTCTTGTGTTTGGTAAATTCTTAGAATTGATGGTTTCCCCCCGCTTGCCGCGACCCGGCGTCTCAGTAGCTTTTGTTTTAGTGCCAAAACGATCATAGAAGGGAGCAGACGTGCCGTCAGATATGTAACAGGTTCGTAATTTTAATTTGAAATTTGATTGTAGCCTGTGAGGCTACATGTCCCTAGTTGTCAAATCATCATTTTTTCGAATATTTTTTTGTTTTTAGTGCAAAATGGCACAAAACGCTAGGAAACGTGAACTACAGACGTCGACTTCATCAAAAAGACAAGTATTACGAGTGGATAGCCCATCATTTGAAGAGGAATTCAATGCCATCTTGCTAGCTTCAGACCAATCAGACAGTGAAGGTGATATTGAAGAGTTTTTGGTTTCCGACCGTGAACTTTTTCAGTTACGTGAAAGTGACCAAGATGAAAATCTAGACGAGAACATTTCAGAAGTGGATAGAAGCAATGTGGGGAGCCAGATCACTACAGAAGGAGATAGCACCGGTAGTTCTGATGATGCCTTGCCTCTTTCGGAATTACGAAAATCGAATTTTTTACTACGGTAAAAATCGTTATAAATGGTCGAAGACGCCTCCTAATGCTAGTGTTCGACAATGCAACATAATATAATTACGCATGCTTGTGGGTCAAAATTGACCGGTGTGATTTATGCCAAATGCTCAAAGGGTCTTTGAGCATTATTATTTATATAAATACATTACATATTTGGCATAAATTGTTTGATAAAGAAATGCTCCAACAAGTTTTGACTTGGACTAACAAAAAAATTGCCAGTTACAGGATGAAGTTCGCTCGGTAGAATAAACCTGAACTGAAAAACATTGATATGACTGAACTGAAGGCTTTTGTGGGGCTTTTACTATATTCAGCTGTATGTCCCGTATGTAAAATTTGCCAATGATTTATGCCAAACAGACTATATGTCAGAATTATTATGTTTTGTTTTCAGAAGTAGCTTTTATGTTTTTTTTATCTTTGTATCGTTTAAGTTTTCATAAAAATAATTACATTTGTCGTATCATTTATGTAAGGTATATTAAAATGTTAAAATAAGGATCTCATGTCAATTAAGGCTAAAAAGTACAAGTAAGTGTTAATCATCATTTGTGTTTAAAGTGATTATTAAAACTGATTGAATTAATTTATCTTTGTTTTATTACATTCCAACAAATAAATAACAACGCATTTTAAATCATTATAATGCAATTTAATGACAAAATTTTAATTTAAAAGTAGTAGCCTGTGAGACTACATGTCCCTTATATTGTTCTCAATTTGTTACGTCCCTAGTAAAAGGTTAAGTCTATCTAATGCCACATTTACATTCAGCCCCTATCGCTGCTCCTCGCGCTGCCGACAATAATTCCCTAAATACTACTGTGACAGGATCGAGGGATATGTGTGTTTACATACTGCCCTTCCTCTCATTTAGCTTTCAAGTTCCGGCAATGGCAAACGTTGAAATTTTTGCAGTGTCCACGCTGTGTCTTTTATAATAATAATAATAATAATAATAATATAAGCCTTTAATCAGACAAAGTATTTACATTTAAATAGTTTGCAATTGTGACTCTGGTGAGTCGTTGACACCAACAAATTCGTCTGTTTGCCCAGCTTTGGCAAAGGCCTCCTCCATCTCTTTCCACTCTGCTCGGTTTAGCGCTGTTCTAGTCCATGTTTTTCCTGCTATTGTTCTTATATCGTCTTCCCATCTTTTGAACTGTCTGCCTCGTTTTCTTTTTCTATTTCTAGGGTACCAAAACACTATGCTTTTGTTCCATTTTTCGGAGCCTCTTATCGTATGACCTGTCCATTGCCACTTAAGTTTACGAATTCTGGTCGTTATGTTTTCTATTTTAGTGCGATTTCTGATAGTTTGATTGCGTATTTTGTCAGATTTTCGTATATTCAGCATGCTTCGTTCCATTGCTGACTGGCAAGTTTCTAATTTTTTGTTTTGAGCTTTGGTGAGAGCCCAGGTTTGGCACCCATATGTTAGAACTGGTAGGACGCAGGTGTTGTAGAGCTTCGATTTAACAGATATCTTAATTTCTTTGTTTTTCATAATTTCTTTTAGTCTCCAGTAACAATTCCATGCTTTTCCTATTCTTGTGTCTATTTCCTTCGTCATTATTTTGATGTTTGAAATTTGTTGGCCTAGATAGGTGTATTCTGTCACATACTCGATCAGTTCTCCATTTATGATAATCGGGTCCTCCAATGCATTCGTTAGTGCTTTGGTTTTGGATGTATTCATTGTCAGACCTACCACGCTGCTTTCTTTTTCCAGATCTATGAGCATTTTTTGCATTTGGTCTTTTGTATCAGCGAATAACACGATGTCATCAGCAAAACGTAAGTGGGACAGTTTTTCTCCGTTTATGTTTATGCCGTACTGATTCCAATTAAGTTTTCGAAAAATGCCCTCTAAAACAGCTGTAAACAATTTTGGCGATAACGGATCTCCTTGTCTTACTCCTCTATTTATTTTTATTTCTTTTCCTTCTTTTTCCAATTTTATTTTCGCTGTGCTGTTTGCGTATATGTTTTTTATGATTCTGATGTACTTTTGTTCGACTCCTTGGTTCTTGAGGCAAGTCCAGATGTACTCGTGTTCGATTGAATCAAATGCCTTGTTGTAGTCGATGAAACAACAATAGAACGGTACTTTGAATTCCTTGTTCTTCTCGAATATTTGTCTTACAGCATGTATATGGTCCAGTGTTGAATAGCCTGCCCTAAACCCAGCTTGTTCTCGAGGTTGGTTCTCGTCTAAAGTTTTTGTTATACGACCTAAAATTACTTTTGAAAAAATTTTATAAATATTGGACATTAGACTAATGGGTCTGTAGTTATTTATTTCTGACTTCTCCCCTTTTTTATGAAGGAGAATAATTGTTGATGTAGTCCACTGCGTCGGTATTGTTTCTGTGTCTATAATATCGTTGAAAACACATTTTAGTAACGGTGCAATCCAATTTCTACAGCCTAAAAGCAGTTCGTTCGTGATACCATCGGGACCCGGGGCTTTGTCGTTCTTCTGTGTAATGATTGCTTTGTGTATTTCTTCTACTAGTATGGGTGGTACATTGTCGTAGTTGTTTAAGTCTGTATTGATTATTTGGCTCTTGCTGGAGTATAGGTTTTTGTAGAAATTTGTGGCTATTGATAGGATTTCTGTTCTTTTGGTTTTTGTTTTACAGTGTTGGTCTTTCATGTTAGGTATCCAGTTGGTTTTACCTGTTAGGACTTTAAGAGCCTTCTTTATACCGCCAGTCCTTTTAATATGTTTTTCCAGAGTGTTGAGTCTCGAATGTTCTCTATCTTTTCTCATTTGTAGCTTTATTTCTTTGCTCAGTTTGCCAATTTGTTCTCTAATAGTTTTTGTTTTGCTTGTTGTGCTAATTAGTTTTGATCTCTTTTGTAGGAGATCGTGGGTTTTTTCAGATATTTGGCTTTTATTCTTTGATTCGCTTTGGTTGGTATTAGGTTTTGCTGTTAACATTTCGTTTATTATGTTGTATTTCTCTTGAGTGTTTAAATGCTCAAGACATGATTGTGACATCGAGCGGAGATTCTCTTGTATGGTGACTATTGCTGCATTGTTGCCTAGTATTGTGGTTTTCGCTTTGAAGGGTCGACTTGATTTTTGGACAGATGATGTGTTCAGGCGTGCTCTAAGCATTCTGTGGTTACTATTAAAGTTTAGGTTTGCGATAGTGGCGCAGTCATCAAATGACTTTGGTCTGTTTGTTAGCACGTAGTCAATTTCATTTTTGTATCTGCCATCTGGTGATACCCAGGTCCACTTTCTGGATAGTCTCTTTTTGAATTGACTGTTTAGTATTTTCATGTGATTCTCGAATGCCATTTCCATTAATTTTTGTCCGTTTCTTGTTCTTTTGCCGCTACTGTAGGGTCCCAGGACGATATCCTCTCCATTCCTTGGTGGTCCAATTTGAGCATTAAAATCTCCCATTACAATATAGTTTTTGTGTGCATGGTCCTTAATGGCATCATTTAAGGAGATGTAGAATGACTCAATTTCTGATTTCGTTGATTGTTCGGTTGGTGAGTATACTTGCACTATAGACCATACTTCTTTGCCAGGGGGTATTTCTATGCTCAAAATGGCTATTCTTTCTGATATGCCAATTATTTCCGAAATTGAATTTTTGAGTGTTTTCTTTATCAGGAATCCTACTCCATGACGTCCTGGTGTTTCGCCTTTATGGTATAATATAAAGTTATCATGTTCCTCAATAGCTTCGCCATATCTTCTTACTTCGCTTAAGCCGATTATGTCCCATTTTATATCTCGCAAAGAATGTAGAAGTTCTTGCAAGCTTTCTTCGGTCCTGAGTGATAGTGTGTTGTATGTAGCTATATATATATATTTTTCAGTTTGTTGTTTCTTGTATCTGAAAGCATTCTTGTTAGGTGGAGAGATAGTATTTGGAGGGTAGTGGTCGTCTTCCCCCACGGTGACCATCCGTCTTGGGGTGAGTGTATGGGTAGTTTTTTTGTTGTAAGTATTGTTGGTTGTTTTCGGTTTCCTATTGTCGGTGTCTATTGGTCGTTTTTTGAGGTTGTGGGTTGAGATAGTGAAGCCGATCTGCCTCGTGCGACGTAATCTAGGATGTTAATTTTATTAATCTTTTTTGGGGCCGACGTGCATTGGTTGTTGGGTGATTTATTTGGCGAGTCGATGCAGTCTCTTTTCCTCTTATCTCTTTTATCATCTTTCGGTTCCTTAGCAACAATTTTGTCCCTGTGTCTTTTAGCGATACATAATTATGTGCGTCAGTTAAAAATAAATCGTATGAAACAAAAGAAAAGACGTCGTAGAAGATGGTGGATTGTGTATTCATCGTAATAGAACTTTAACCACTCCGGGCGCTCGGCGTCAACTGAGCGCTTGAGCAGAATGTAAACACGCGCTGCCGCTCGCGTTGAAGTCCGCACTAAAAACCGCTCTTTTGGGGAGCGCTGGGCAGCGCGAGTGGCATTAAGCAGTGGCATGAGAACTATACGTTTATATACATGTCCTGCCCACTGCCCTGCTCACTACAGCTGAATGTAAATGAGGCATAAGAAGTCTCGTCTAAGTGATGTTCGCTCGAGTCATGAAAATGCCTATATATTACGTCATTATCATCCACCATATGGATTAGGTACGCTTACCGGACTTCGAGTCTAAGAAAAGAAATTTATACGCCTGTGGTGGCAAGCCCAAATTGTCACTCACCTTTTAAAGGAGGAGCTTCGATCTGGTTATCTACTATGTTGTTTCCTGAAATGACAAGGGTCGATGAATAAACTTTTTATTGCAAGGTATATACTACACTTCTGCTGTTGGTGCTTCGTTTCTGATTAATTTTTGTCCTAGTAATCTTAAGATTTCTGCGAGGTAGTAAGGTAAGGAGGAGCGGGGCACGTGAGGGAACGAATCTGTTTACGCCCCAGCCGTCGCGAGAGACACTCTAGGTATCGGGAATTCCGAGACGATCTCCGGCCACCATAAGCACGGGCCTGCGGACGGCAAGTACGGGTGACTCGTCCTCCACCACAGATGGGGCCCAATAGTGCTGATGCCGATACGGAGCCACGGAGGGCGTAACGGGTTACCGGGGCTCCGGCTCGAAGTGCAGGAGTAGGAACGGGGTGGTTTTTAATCAGTAAGAGTCTGACACTCACTCTCGCCTCACGCGGGCGGGAGAAGTCATTGGATGATTTACCCCCTCAAAAAAAGTAATCTTCGAATAACTTTGATCATGGTGAGATCTAATGGCTTTTATACCTAACAATCGACGATAAACCTGAGCGACACCACGACTGACATTTAAACCCGGAGTCAGTGACAATAAGACCTTCAAGCAGTTTCTTTATTGCCGAGAAATCTACGCAACGATTAGAATTAAACCCTTGGGAAGCGATAATAACAGATTGATTATGAAATGCATAATACATACCTTCTTCCTTCGGTTCAGATGGTGCAGCCAAAGCAGATACGATCAACGCAAACACCAGCAGTAGAGCAACAGAGCGTGCCATCTTGTGAGCAGACAATGCAATAATACAATGAAAGTGGAAAATTAAAATATTTTATATTACTGATTGCATACCTAATTAAATTCCTAATTTAATACTTTTATTGTAATATATTTACGGAAAATTGGTGTTTACCTACTTGAAATAACTGATATACTTAATTATATTATTAATAAATTATCGTATTTTTCGAAGGATTAATATTAGGTATTATGTTTACAGAATTAATTAAACTGTTATAAAAATAGAAATATAATGTGTGGAGGAAAATTTATTTAAAAATTGTTTGTAGTTAGGTTTTTCGTTGTGCTATGTTTGAGATAGTGATTTAACCAATAATGTTATGTATATTTAGTAAACAGAGTTAGTTATTTCTTTAGTTATAGTTTTAGTTGCCTGCTAAATAAATTACTTGTATAGGCATTGTTTTTGCACACGAGTGCGAGAGATATCTTGTAGTAGGTAATTCAAGAACGATCTTGAATCTCTCGTCTTCAATCGAATCCAAAATCTATGAATTAAGATCGGTTTTTGACATTAGTTGTATAGAGTTTTGGTAATAAATCAACATCATATCGAATCAAAATCTTTAATAATTTCGGCCGTTAGTAAACCATAGTTAAAAGTATAAGTATATACCTAATAAGTTTTATTAGAATTACGTAGGTATTATTTGATTTTGTACTATGTAACTACATGGCTATTTAATCTAAAAAAAAACCGTATTTATTATCATTTAAAAGTTGCGGCAACGTAATAAAATCCGTCGCGGAGAACCTAACGGTTTACCGGGATTCCGACTCGAAGTGCAGGAGTAGGAACGGGGTGGTTTTTAGTCAATAAGAGTCTGATACTCCGTCCCGCCTCACCCAGGCGGAAATAGTCATTCGATGATTCCCCTCCCCACCATTAAAAAATAAAATTTTGCGTGGCAAAACAGAAAAAAAAACAACAAAAAGGGAATATTATTTATTTTAAACGTTTATAATAATGTAAGATCTAGTATAATATCTACTATCGAACAGAACACACTAGCAACCCTAGAGTGACACAATGATTACCTACGAAATCCTAAAATCACACCACAATTGAAGTACTACGCTGTTTATAAGTTCAGGCGTAACTGTTGTGGCCCTCGTCTCCGCCTGCTCCTCCATACGAATTGGTACCATGATTACCACCGTGACCACCATCTCCCTTGCCTTTGCTGGTACCACCGTGACCGATGCTGAAAGATCCAGCTCCAAAGCTACCTCCGGATAAGTTACCTAACGCTAAACTGCCTTTTGAAGCAGATACTCTTTGTCTTGGTCTATGGTGCTTGCGCTTACCTCCTGAAAAATAAAAAGAGTTATGTTAATTATTGTTTCCGATGTACGACTGGCACACAGGATAACTGTGATTTTATGTACTTTCCATCTGTCTCCCTCTAAATCTCTAACGAGCAACTTCTCATTACTTATATATGTCCTTGTGTGTATTGATTCCATTAATCTGTTCAAATTCAAAGAACTTATAAAGTATACTAGCAAAATCCCATAAAATGCATGGTTTTTGTTCTTTTTGTTCTGCATACACATTTATGTAGGTAACTTTCTTGAGTATTATACCATTTTTCTTATCTATACATCCAGAGATGTACTTTTAGGAATTCAGAAAAAGGTTTATTCTGAGACTTTCGCTATGCGTATTACATAATACATCTAAGTATGCGCTCTGGCACTCTATTTTACACCGGTTTAATACATCGGAGATCTCCATGCTAAGATACTATTGTGATACGAAAATAATTTGAAGGTTTGTGTAACTATACTTATGTTAAATTTGCGGTGACTAGGTATTGGAAATCGACATATTATTACGTACTTAATTAACATTACTGACGCTGTTTTCTACTTATTTTTGTTTTATTAGTTTCATTATAGAGCCGGACACTATTACCTACCTACAGTAGGTGGTTTTGTTCTTGTTTGCAGTCAAACTGACATAAAATATTAATTCGATGCTTTTCGACTGTTATACGTAAGTATCTACATTATCATCAACAGTCTATAAGTGCATCTTCTCCCGCATAAATCACATAAAATAGTTAATCAGTAAGAAATTAATAATGGAAATAAATGTTAATGTTACCTGGTGCCGCAATGACACAAGCGACCACAGCCAGAAGTACCACAATTGTCACTAAACGCACCATCTCTCTCACTGCAGTATAGTTCGGGACACTGATTTAAGATTCACGTGTCAAGCTTTTATATCCTTAAACTTTATTTTTATACAGCCTTATATAAAAAAACCAAGACAAATATTTTAATTTACAAAATTATTGCGAATGTCATGTTGTCCAAATGAAACCGGTCCACAACTCCGTATAGATTGAAAAAATTGTAAGAATATTAAAGTCACAGCATGATATGCGTGCTTTTTAAAAAACGTATCTGTTGACATTTATGTTAAAGGTTTTTTGTAAACATACCCTAATATATTTTCTTTATATTCTACTTTCTATGTAACCACTGACTTAGACGACGTAACAGATATCAGTAAGAGTGATGACTAGGTTTTGTTGATTAATGGCCAAGATGATAATTGAACAAAAATAACAAACAGGTTTTAAATTATATTCTCAAAAACACATTTTAAGCAGGTTTGGAATGTTAATGTGTTCAATGGTCACATGACCGTGTTTTGTTTCTAAACAAAGCATATTTTATTATCTTACAAGAAACGAATTTTAGAAGTTAGTTATTAACAATGCATCTTTTAACTGCACGGTTGGCGCTGTGACTGGACAGTGGGAACTGGCTGACGCGCAACGTGTCGCGGGGTCGATAGATTCCCGTATGGAACAACCCTTTCTGTGATCCACAGATTGTTGATACGGGTGTGGGTGTCATGTGTATTTGAATTTGTATGTAAACGCGACCACGATACAGAAGAAAATCCTAGTGCAGGGATTTGTTTTTAGAAAAAAGAACCTTTTGTTTTGATTGGGAAATTCCATAACTTATCCCGCCACTGATGAAATGGAACGGAAAGTCGGGTAGGTTCTTATTGCCTAATAAAAACCACCTCGTTTCTACTCCTGCTTATCATCATCATCATGGGCACACAAGAAGATCATGTGATCCCAAAAGTTATTCGACCTTATTTATTTTATTATTTTCTATAAATTATTTTAACATATTTCATTACACTATTCCTATCGAATATATATAATTATATATGTTATAACTTTTTTTTATATCAAAAGCCTTGATTGTCTCATTAAACTGTCAAACACCAAGCGGTCACCGGTGACCGCAACCTATTGTTCTATAATTGTGTCTACAAAACCGGTACTCGACGAGTTAAAGTACAATGGAAGCTTGCTAGTTCTTTTTTTATATGAGAACAAGTTCGATGAAAATGATATATAAATAAATTGAAAAATACTAGTGATTTTTACTAGTACTATACTATTGTATACTAGATATAATAGTGAGATTAGTCTGATTATCATTATTAGGTATGTATTAATATGAACAAGTTTTTGGTAAAAAATATGTATTCAGTTATATAACACAATTCTAAATGGTGTTTTTATTAGTATTGCATTGTCCACTCACAAGATGGCACGCTCTTTTGCTCTGCTGCTGGTGTTCGCGTTGATCGTATCTACTTTGGCAGCACCATCTAAACCGAAGGAAGAAGGTAAGTATTTTTTGGTTTTCTTAGATATTTGTTGACTGGCATTTCAGGACCAGAATTATTGACTGCAACTAGGTAGCATTGACTACTTAGATGCTTTTAGTGTTTTGATATAAGCATAAATGATAGGTAAACCTTCTTTTTTTTTGAGGGGGGAAATTATTCAATGGCTTTTCTCGCCCGGGTGAGATGAGAGGGAGTGTTAGACTCTTACAGACTTAAAACCACCCCATTCCTACTCTTGCACTTCGAACCGGAGCACCGGCAACTCGTTAAGTTCTTCGCGGCTCCGTATCGGCATCAGCCCTGTTGGGCCCCATCCCATCTGTGGTGGTCTGATGGCTCTTTGAGGCGCGCGCGGAACGCGATGCGCCGTACATTCGGGTCTGGTTCTGGTCGGGCGGTGAGTCACCCGTGCTCGCCGTCCGCAGGCCCGTGCTGACGGTAGAAAGAGGATAGAGCTGATTATTAATTTATTAAATACTAAACCGTAATTCTACTAATCTTTTTAGAAATAGGTATTATAATAATCATATTATCTTAAGTCTCTGCTGGCGACACCGATCAGTTATTAATAATTTATTTTAAAATAGTGATTTTATTATGAGTATAACAAAATTTATTATTATGTGAACTTGTTTCAATACGGACAAATAAATTCATATTCAAAATGCAACTTGTTATAAGGTCACTTACTTTATTTTAGTTTTTAAAATGGCAATGCGTAGGCGTGGGCTTGTGATGTTTTTGTATCAAAAATATATAATGATACAATCAGTAATTGATTACTTCCCAAACAATTCAGGTTCAAGTTTACTACATACTATTATGTTCACGATTTGTTGACACGTTGATACTTGAGACTAAGGCCTCGTTGGCCGAATGGTCGCAAGTGCGACTGCCGGGCAAGGGGTCTTTGGGTTCGCTTTTCGGGTCGGGCAGTTTTAATGGTTTTAAAAAAAATCTCAGTGGTAGCACGGAGTCTGGAAATGTGCCCGGTATATGGCAATATGCGCACCCCCTATTACATGGAACTCATAACATCACTATTTATGTTATGAATATAGTGGGTGTTGCCTCTGTGTGCACCTATGCCTACCCCTTTGGGGATAAAAGGCGTGATGTTATGTTATGTTATGTTACGATTTCTATTGTAGTACTAATTAACAAACCGAACATTTTGTCGTTATCGTAATGTAAATTTAAGGATGTGCAAAAGTGAGTGATATGTGTTTGAGTGTTATGAACTGGTGTTAACAATGAATATTGTTTACTTTCAGAAAATGAAGAGGAATATGATGATGAAGAATATGAAGATGGAGTAAAAGCTGATGATGGAAGTATTGGAATTTTAGGTATAAGTGGTGGTACGTTTGATGCAGGCAGTTTCAGTATTGGCCATGGGGGAGACAGTCAAGGGGACGGTGACGGTGGACACGCTGGCAACCATGGCACCAACTCATATGGTGGATCTGGAGGCGATAAGGGCCATAATAATTATGGAAAGAAGTAGTCTAGGCCCAATGAATAAATAAGTAGTCAGCTACAGTTTTATATCCACTCAATTGTCTTCACAAAATTGTGTGGTATGTAACAGTTGTTTGTAGACGGTATTAACAACTCATTACCAGATTCTGTTTAAAAAATTCCATTCAAAAGTTGTCTGTAAGGAATTGCTATGTGTGATAAAACGCCCGATAATCAAATTAATATTAGGTACAATGTAAACGATTTTTTTCTATATGTAAGTTTAAAATAAATAAATAACACTATTGTAAATATATAAAAACATTGATAGTTATAATTGTTCTTCGTTTTGATTACTAAAAATAAATAAATGAATAAAAAAAATAAGCCTTTATTACTGAGGTTACAAATTTACAATTTAGTTTATATTACTATACATGTATACATGATTACTATACTCTACGTGATGTATATATAGTATAGTAATATAGTAAATTCGTTCTGATTACTAACGATAAGTTAATAGATACTTCCCCTTATATTTACATTTATTTATACGGTTTGATAAAAGTAATAAATTTAATAAAATATAGGTATTTGTATTGTGTTTTATTTGTCTGTATATTAATTATTTTTATTATGACTCTGGATACACACTTATTATTATTATTTTTTTATTCTTTATTTATTTACAGGACGTTTATCTGAAGACATGTCAGTCCTATTGATACAAATCAAGAAACCCTTAAACTTAAAAATAATAATACAAGCAAAAGCCAAAAAGAAAAATATATCTAACAATGATATAAAAAGGCTCACTTAATAATGCAATTATTTAATTAATTAACTAAACTATACCATTAAAAGGAAAACGAACACAAAAGAATTCAACAAAATATTAGGTTGTTAGGGAATTACTAAAAATATTATACAGTTTTTTGGCTGCTTCCGAGTAGGGATTGGACAGTATACTATGAAAGATACCGACATCCAGCCTATTTATTTTTAAATCCCTAAACAACATTCTTGATAGCACGTGACCGGATCGCAAGCGTAACGCCGTAATAACAGTTGTTCTGTCAAAATTAACTACTATGACAGAACCAAGGGCAACGAGGTGGTCTTTGCACAATTTTATACCATTTTTTATATAATTATGTAGTATTTCAGAATAGTAAGGTACAATTCCAAAGTTATTGCCCTGTTGGGCTCCTAATTTTGCCAGTCGGTCTGCCTCCTCATTGCCCTGTATACCAACATGAGATGGGATCCACTGAAACTTAAATATTATACTCTTACAAATTATTTTCTGGATTTTCTTCAAGACTGTATGCCATAGGTTTACCTGTAAAAATATGTATATTAAAATATGTAGAACAGGACGAAGAGGTAAACCTCTTTGTTCTGTTCTACATATCGGACATATCGGTCACAGGACAAAGAGGTTTACCTCTTTGTGTACTTGTGTCTTCTACATATTTTGCTGTATTGCTGTATATAATGCTGTATTGCACTTTTGCTATCGGTTATAATAACCACTTTAGACAAACCTAACACTTATTGTCATGAGTTTTTTTTTACAAATATTCCTGTCGTAACCACCAAGGATTTAGAATTATTAGCCATACTCTCTGCAACTTTAGGCTTGAAACATATATAATATCAAACATATGTAAATACTGCCTCGTTGGCCGAGTGGTCACAATTGCGACTGCCGGGCAAGGGGTTCGATAACCGGGTCGAGCAAAGTATTACTGGGTTTTTAAAAATTCTCAGTAGTAGCACGGAGTCTGGAATGGTGCCCGGTATATGGAAATAAGCTCAACCCCTATTACATGGGACTCATAACATAAATAGTGAAAAGTGGGTGTTATATTGTACAGTGGCATACACTGTACCTCTGCGTAGGCAAAGGGGTAGCCCTTCGGAGTTAAAAGGCATGATGTTATGTTATGTAAAAACGACTTTATTTTTCTATATAAGAATCCTCTAGTTTAGAGATATAAAATAAAAGTCTTTATAGAAATTAGGGTCAATCAACTTATGAACCTTGGGAATTATCGGTAAAAGTATGAACTAGGAAACAATTGCATAAGTTTCAGAACATCCAAGACTCGGGCTGGGAAAGAAAACCACGACACTAGACTTAACATATTCGTGCTTTTTCTTACCGGTTTATTGTGTCTTAAGGCCGAGGTACACTGTAACGGCACGGCAACGGTATGCATGTTTTTTTTAAATGTCAACAGCACTCCGTTGGCTTATACTCTCATGTCGAATACATGGACTATCACTCGACTCCTGCGACACATACGGGAAGCGTAGGTGCTAACAAATATTTTACTCAGGACTATTACTATTTTATCTTATATCATTTTCCTTATCTTATACTACTATATAAAGCGGAAGAGTTCGTTTATTTGTTTGTTTGTTTTAACGTGCTAATCACTGGAACGACCAGTCCCATTTCAATAATTGTTTTTGTGTTGAGTAGTCAATTTATTGAGCAAGGTTATAGGCTACAAAACATCACGCTGCGATCTATTGGAAGCGAACAGACCGGGCGCAACCGCGCGGAAGTAGCTAGTAGTAAATTTTCACAATCGGAAATTCCTAGAGACAAATAAATAACCTCCTCAATGAAAAATCTCCTAATAATAAATTAAACTGTCAAACACCAAGCGGTCACCGGTGACCGTTCTATAATTGTGTCTACAAAACCGGTACGATTTTGTAGACACAATTATAGACATCAGGACGATTCAGACGAGACACTCTCATTTAAACTATTACTGTTTTTCCTTAATTGTGTCTGTGGTCCATTACAGAAGATCAACTTCAATCTCTCTTATTCTGTTCGGGCTTAGAACAGCAATAAATTTTTCAGAATATAGGGTTCACAAAATTATGAATCATTCGATATACAGTATTGATTACCAGCGGTTTTCGCTCGGGTCGTCCTGACCGGATAATCACAGCTTCACATAAAACCGACGTGAAACAATGCATTGTGTTTTTTTCACTAAGTACCTACGTGAGGTCAGGTAAGACCCACCACCATCCCAATTTCCAAATCCTCTACCGTTAAAAGATCGCCAACACCTTTGTAAATCCTCTGATAGTTTGAGTGTTCATGGGCGATGCAGGTCATCCGTTTGCTTCTTTGCCATCCTATACCATAAAAAATGTGTTTATTTGTTTGCCCTTCTTTCAAAGCGCTATCTATGGAGCAATAGTCGTATATTCGTGCATCTTATATCATCATCATCATCATCATCATCACCACCATCAAACGTGGACTGGCGATTTCGAAGTTGTAGTTGGAATTGTTGGTCCAGGTTTCTTCAATATCCAGTGACATAAAAGTGACAGAATCACAGGCTGCTCCGCGCGCTTTTTCATATTTTTAGGTAGTAGGGTTCAGTAGAATTCCTATCTACCAACATACAGCAGAAGTTAAAAATATTATTATCTTATCAATATCATTTTAACCTTGACCGATGTTCGATTACAAATTTTGTATATTTATTGCAGTGCATGTGCATTTAATTAACCGACCAGACTAGTTTTCAATATGTATAATGTACTTTTATCAGTAGAATAAGGAAAATAAGAAAAGCTAAAAGCAGGATATTATCGTAACCTACCGTAACGTCTGTCGAGTGCTTGCAAAATGCAATTTTATTGCAGGGTTGTACGAAATATTATTGTTTATTTTTTCTTGTGTTTCCAAAGTTACTGCTCTAAATCCCGTCTAGTACGGTACCCATAGAGAAAGATATTTTTATAATAATTATGTAATTATTACAGAATACCCTATTATTACGCTTTATTTTATTTATCGTTAAAACAAGCCTTTTGGTCTCGGAGGAGCCAATTATGAGGATGGATAGCACAGCTCCTAAACGGGGTCAGCATTATAAGGATTAGAAAGTGTACTAAGAACTGAACACAGGAATGGAGACCTGGCACATCTGCAACCAGCATTGGTCAATCGCTCGACACCGCTGCTCCTGCACGACATCGCATGACCTCAAACTGCACAGCAGACGATCTCCAAGCTGCCAGAACTGGACTTGGAAGCTCTCCGTCATCAGCCCCACTCATCAGATCTTGCACCTACAGATTATTACTTTTTCTAGAATTTGGATAACTTCTTGGCGGGAAAAACATTCAATACCCCAGAGGCAGCACAAAATGCTTTTGAAGAATTGGTTGCCTCCCATCCAGCTGATTTCTTTAAGAAGGGCATCAATAAATGCCACTGTGTTGGCAAAGATGCATTCATCGCATGGGTGATTGCTTGCTAAACACATTGCTACATTAATACAAGTAAAAAATACATGAAAAAAAATGTTTTCAATTACGTGGAATCCAAGCTAGGTGAAGGTGACTTGAGAGTCGCCAGGATTTTATTTAATAGGGACGTGCTTACTACTCTTCAGAAACTTTTGAAGCTCTGAAGAGTAAATATCCGCCTGCTGGGGTTGACCTATAATGAACTTTTTACAGGTTTTCGTCAAGTAGTAGCAGCCTTACAAAGTCGCTTTGTCGGTGGAGTGGATGACCTGAGTCCTCAACATCTTAGAGAATCGACGGGGCCAGACGTCAGGAAATCCGGTGGGTTGCTTTTGAAGGAGTTTAAGAGTAGTAATGTAACCGATGCCGTAATCTACATCTTGCACGGGGCCAATTTGTGTGCCCTACACAAAAAAGATGGCGGTATCCATCACATTTCCATGTGTTAAGAGCTGAAGTCCTAGTTAGTTACAAAACCTGTATGACGTATTAATTCAGTCCTCTCTCTAATCGTCGACTAATAAATTATTGAATGACTAATAAAATATTTCAAGAACACAACTGTTCTGCAGGTACCTACTGATAAAACAGCTTTAATTTCAGGTGGAGGTGGAAATATTTGGGCTTCGCCTACAATACCAAACACTACTGTCAAGACTGACACAGCGCTCAGAATATAAAGTACTGCTGCTGCAGCTGACGTTATGTCTACAGTATCTAGCACTGCTAATGAACCGAATTCAGTCGATTAAATCATTTCATTGGCCTT